ATTGGAGGGGCATCCTTACGCTGGAGCTTAGGAGCGACAAGAGAGGAAGTGAAAGCTTGTGGTAGATGGACGTCAGAAGCCTATAAAATATATTTAAGGAAATTCGATGAGAGACAGATGAAGAAAACGGTACAACTGCTAGAGGAAATGAAATTCTAGGGTGAGAAAGGCACGAATCACAAGTTAGATGAAAAGAATGTCTGAGCTAATTTAAGACGTTCCTATAGGACCTGGTCGCGACTCGTCGAGTGGGAAATAGAAGAGATGCTGGAAGGGAGGGAAGGAAAGGAGAGATGGAAGTGAGATTAAGAGTAAATACAAGAAAGAAGTTGGGGAGATTCTGAGGGTAAAACAAGCCCTCTAGATGGTTGCTGACTGAGATTGTTGAGCGGTTGTTGATAGAGATCAACGCGCAGAGAATTAAAGTTTTAACCGAGCGAGTAGAACTCTATAGTTGGAATATGAGGGGAATTCAATTGAATGAACAAAATATTAAAGTTTTGGAGATGAAATGGGGGAGAGTGAACGGTATACAGTGATCGACGCAATAGATGCGAGATAGCTCACGGAAGGGAGGTTTGGGGGTCTCGACTTCTCAGGCTCACGGCTCCTTCTCCCGTGAGTTGAGGGGTTGAGAAGTCCAACTCCTTTTTAGGCACTGTTCTCGTCCCAGAGGTTTGATCTGGGATATGGTTGGTAACTATATCCTAGATTAGCCGACCTCTGGGACCCACCCCAAACCACAATGTAGGCTGCTGGTACTTGCGTTGGCAGGGCATGGCATTCTACAGTGGTAGAACAAGCCTAAGAAGCGGGGAAGCTTCTTAGACAAGAAATCTCAAACTTTGAGTTTGAGATGGAAATCAATACATACATCTCTGTAGATAAAGACTTGTTACTCCCTTTACGTAAAGAATGGATGGGATGTATATATGAGTCATGATGATCTGACAGATTCATTTCCCCATATGCACCCTTTTCATTAGCACTAGTGAAGTCCAGATTTGATAGCTCTCAAATTCTTGAATTCAATTCTGCATCATCTACAAATCAAGATGGTTTGCACAAAAAGGATACCTAAGTGCAATTGGGTCAGAGCACTTACAGCATCCTATGAGACTGTTCAGCACCAATCATCCATCCATAACCATGCCATCATCATCTTCTCCTTGTGCAAATCCCTGGTCAAACCACAAAATCAAAAAACTCAATCAGTTTAAAACCCAACAGATTCATCAATTCAACTGTTGAGAATGTTTGATTAAGAGTATAGTTTGACACAAGTAAAAATCAATGCACACCTGAGCCATAACAGCCACACTACATATGTGTAGAAGGCTGAGGAAATAGGTGCAACACTGCCACAATTACAATACTGGTATTGTATTGAAAATCCCCAGTAAAGTAACTGGTCAGAAATACCAGAGAATCCAAGATTGGGTAGCATACCTGTACCCAAGGTACAATACTGGGTAAAGTATTGCAGTCACAATGCTATGCCGCCCAACACTAAGTAGTGTATCTTGTTACAATACCAATACTGTATTGTAGTATTGCAACTCTCAGACAAAAAAACACTGGAGTAGGGATTTATTGTATACTCAATACTTTCTGGGGCCCAGGCTGTTATCATACCTGGGACACAACACAATACTAGGTAAAGTATTGCCATACCCAATACTACTGGGAGGCTTGGCCAGTAACATATTTTGACTCAGATACTGATACTGAGGCTACAATACCCGCTAAAAAAACTACAATACAAAATACTGGTAGTGTAATTGTGGCAGTGTTGTCATTGATAGGTGGCTATCATGTACATATCAGTCTGCTCACTGGGCAGCTGATCTGGTATATCACATGTGATACATCATGTAACTTTTTTCACTTTGACTAAATTGTGCCAAACATTGACCACATATACCTCCATTGCTACTCAGACAATACCCTTGAAGTCATTTGTCAGTAACACCAAGGGTGTTACAAGAAGGTGGGTTGACAAAATTACACTAAAACTTTGAGTCAGTTCATATAGTCAGTTTTTTGAAATGCTTTTGTCAGGCTGAAAAATGTTACAGCATGTATTACATATGATTGACTTATCCAGATGAGCAGATAACTGAGCAGACCTGTATGTACATGACAGCCACCTAGTCACTCAGCCTGTTGCACATATGTAGTGTGGGTGTTATGATCAGGTGTGCAGTGATAGATCCTTCTGTTGAAAAATTATACTCATAATCATTTCCCTTTTCCCACTTGGGGAAATTGTATGATGTTCACAGTGAGAGGGACAAATACCACACTAAATTGTACCCACGCCATGTACTATAGTACCACATAATCCCAGAGTCACCCAGCAAAGTGTTTCCTTCACCAGATAGCTGGCCTCTGTCCCCCATCCTATCCATGACACATATACAGAAAGCTTACAGTTCTTGTAGAGTAACTTTTTAGACTACAAGTACAACAAAGGGTGTCAATGATTGTTTGTATCCTTTATTTGAGTCTTCACAGCCATTTCTCTTTTTGCTGTTGAAAAAAAAACATGTTGCAATTTGATTTACCATCAAACTCTCAAATTTTTCTGTCTTGGAAAGACACATCTTCACCAGAGATTTACAATCATTCAGCCTTGATATACCGCAATCCAGTTCTTCAAATGAGCCCATCAACATTAATTTCATTTTATATAAGGCCCAAATTGCTCACCAATGTGTTTGTACACCAACTCTTCATATTTAACACTAGGTGATTTCTGATTCTCTTTTTCGCAGCTTCAAGCTCCCATCATTGGAAAAAGGGTGCTGCATTTTACAACCATTTTTTGTGGAAGGGAACATCAAACAACAAAGCTGCTGTGTATTTTGTTTAACAAGTTATGAAGCACGGGGAGGAACTGAAGGGAAGTCTCACCTTGCACACAGTGATTGAGCAGGCTGATACCATGTGTCATACAAAAGAGAGAACACCATTTGTTCTGGAGGGGCATTTACATGTATGAAGTCTTGCCCACCATTTTTCATGTCTTACTTACCCATCTGCTCACCACAGTGGCCCAAAGAAAAATTAAAACAAACAAAAACATTCATGTATCATACATAATAGCACATGATGTAAGGTTTCTGGCTGAATGGCACAGATAACCAAAGAAGAGAACAAATCACAACATAGATTTGCAGACATACCAAGCATAGCCACAATGAAACAATCTCAACAAGTCTCACTTCATGGTGGTTTGGTTCCAAACACATTAATCCCTCTAGTCTGTGTAAAGCACTGTACTACATGAACCCTGCCAAGTTTTGGTAAATCAAATTGAGAACAACAAGATGGAAATGAAAAACTGAGATCAAATGTTTCATTAGGTACTTAAATTCACCCAAACCCTTTGTTCCTATCATTTGGATCTCTTTAGAGGCTCTTGAAAACCTCTATCAAACATGTTCTGGCACAAAAACTTATCTAGCAACATAAATCACATTTTTACACAGCTCTCAAGGCATACAGAGTGGTACCTCTGTTGGTATTGAAGTCAATACCAAGACATGTAAAACAAGTTGAAGAACATCATACCAGAACCATAGAACTTTTTCTGGTAAAGTTTAGAGAGGAGCATTGAAAAAGTGTATAAGCCTACTTATAAATTCTTGAAAGTTCTTCCCCTAAACTCTGTGCAAGTCTGCCACAAGCCCTTCTTTGCTTTATTAATGTACCCAAAAGGTTTATAGAATATGTACACCTTCCACTAAGAATAATCTTCAAGATAAATCACTGTGATCAGTGTAAAGTTGTTCTTGTAAATCAAACTGGAATTTAAGGTTGATCGAAAGGTAACATGGACATAAACAGCTCAACAAATTCAAGTAATAAAGAGGATCCAATTGAATTTTTTCCAAGCAGTCAACATTATTCAAAGATACCACGACTTTGTAAACATAGAATGTACAGGAGTGTTGATACCTTACCAGACAATTCACAAGTAATACAATAATTAATCAAATCCATCCATCAAGTAATCATGTAATCTCTTGATATGGCATTGTTACTTATACTTCCATTAAATTCATAAACAAAAACACAATTATATCCATCCAAACATTTTCTCAAAAATCCCTCTCTCAATTGGTAAAATTAAACAATAACAATCAAGTTATTAAGTATATATATATATAAATCTCCTTCAAAAAAATAAAAGAAAAGAAAACTAAAATTGAGAAAACAAAAAAACAAAAAAAAGATAAATTAAAAGAACACAAAAACAAAAAAGTTAATAAAGTCAATTGGTTTTAAAAACTGATCAGATCAAAAAAAATAAACAAAATCTAACAAAGAAAAAAACAATAACATGAAAATAAAGCTATATATATATATATGATAACAAAACTTAAGTGTAAATGAAAAATGAAACTAATGAAAAGTAAAATAAAATGGAAATCATCTATTGGTAGTGTACGGTAGGGTACGGTACGGTAGGGGTAAGTCAAAAAAAAAAAAAAATCGAAAAAAAAATCTAAACATCTAATTTCGATTCTTCTTTTATGTTTTATCTTGTTGAAGAAGAACAACAAGAGGTAAACTATGTATGTGGGAAAAAAAAAGAAGATAAGTGTGAATTTTTTTTTGTAGTCTCATTGAGCCTGAGTTGAACCGAATTTTTGATTTTTTAATATTATTACTTTCTTCTTCTTCTTCTTCTTCTTCGTTGAAAACTTACACAAAACGCACATTCTCTCTTTTTCTTTTGTTGAATTAAAAAACTTCATTTACAAAATAAGAATAACTGTTTTAAAAGTTATAAGACATATATAGCAAAAAAAAGGAAGAAACGCAAGACCGAGATGTGTCAGAGAAGAAGATCAAAAGAAGATGACAATATATGCGCCAGATCAATTGAACGATTCCATCATACAGCCAAATTGCGCAAAAGGAGAACGAAGCGAGATGAGATATAAGAGTCAGTAATTTGATCATCTCTTGCACCTCACATCAACAAACAATCACAATAGAGCCCAAAGAATGAAATCACAAACATTGTTGGTCGCAGCGATAGCAATAGTATCTTCCCTAGGATGCCAACTAGCATGCATAATCCGTTTACCAAAGTCCAAGTTTTCAGTATCTTGGGCAGCTGCATTAGGCGGTTTCATAGCACTAGGGTTTGATTTTGGACCGCCAGCTGTACCAATCTTTTTAGCTTTGAAGGCTGATTTGTCAGCTTGTAGTACAATATCTGTCGTTGCTTCTTTGTCATAAATGTGGAAATAGTTGTTATAAGATCCTGAAAGTACATGGCTAGAAGAAGATTGTATTGTAGTCAGTGATCTAAGCTTTCAGGACTTTTGGTGAGAAAGAATCCAAGTCGAAAGAGAGATAAATTTGAAAACGGTATGGAGGACAGGAGATGAAGTCATACAACTGGATTCCTTTTTCAAAGCCTTGACCCAGATCACGAGAAAATGAATGGAAGAGAAAAGAATGTTGTTACTTACTTTCCATCACCCGAAAAAGTACATTCAAATTTATCAAAGATACAATCATTTTCGTACAAGTCACATAATTTGCCCTTGAGATGATCGTGAATGGGTATGGTAACAAGTGGACGTTTGTCCATGTTGAGATCCCAAATTCGTAAATTCAGATAATCTCTTGATAGCAGATGACGTCCATCTTTAGAGAACTTGACATCCGAAACTGATGAAATGATTTCGGAAAAGAATGATTTATTGGATGGGTCCTCCTCTTCCTCATAGACTGAAAATCAAATGAAAACAAGATGTTTCTTGAAAATGTCAGTTTCGTGTTTTAGATATCATATCGTCTTCTTAGATATCAATAGAGTAAGAAGACAAGTTGATGATAAAAAGGGACAAACGTTTTGCATGTGTATCACAAAGTGCTGAGCTTCGCATATCTGCCAATTTGACTGTACCTTTCGAGCTCGAATAACAGAATAGATTACAGGAGAGGGGATGAAACTCGGCGGCCGTGATGACTTCTGTCAACTCTTCCATATTTGCGGGTTTAATATCAAGAATGTCTGATCGAGTCATTCACAGCGTGATCATTGAATGATGAGGAGGGGTTTTCGAGAAAAGATGGTGACAGTGATGTCGATGACGGTCAAGAGAGGAAGGAGGGAGATGAATCAGTCATCATCAATATGGATCCATTTCATACACACGTGAACTCTTTTGCTAATTGAGAGAAGGTGACTGACTGAAACTCTGCTCTGAGATAGCAAGATTCCAAAGGTTGATTCTCAGATCATCAGCACTCATATAAGTTTCACCATCCGAATTGATGCTGATTGAATTGATATGATAGGCGTGTGCATTGGCATACACTTTACGTGGAACAGCTGCAATGATGGTGTCGTGAAAAGCAAGACGAGGTAGCTTGAGTTCAGCCGGTGCAGTTGCAACGGGTTGGAAGGTTGTCGACATGTGATTGTTTTCTGCAACGACCTTTAATGATTTCTCAAAAACCTTCCATAATTTGATCGTCTTATCTGAGAAGGAGATTCAACATGTCAATCTCTCAACCCGATATACCTGAACATATTGGATGATGAAGATGATAGCGATGATGAGATGGTAAGAGGCCAGCCAAGGGAAATGAGGGACGAACCATTAGTTGAAAGTAAGAAATGAGCCGAGTTTTGACGTTTACACCACCTGATCTTGTTAATCTTCTCTTCGATCTCGAGTGATTTCAGATAATCAAACTCAGGTTCATGAGATTGGAACTCAGTATAGAATTTGTATTCACATCCCTTCTTGCCTGACTGTTGATAGCCATGATCGATCGAGTCAAGAAGATTTAAGGTCATCGTTACCCATGAAGATCAATGAGACCGATATGAATTTGATCTGTTCTGAAGACTTACCTCATTACGCTCAAAGAGTACTACTCGACCACCTTTATCACCTGTAGCGAGATAATCACCTGTGTGATCGAATTCGACAGTTGAGATGATATCTGCTTCGGTGATATCTTCAACTTCTCCTTTGTCGCCTTTATGATCAAATTGATTGATGAGAGTTAGCAAGATCGATGAAGAGTAGATGATCAGAAAGCATTTGGAATCAGATTGAAAGACCGACCAAAACATTGAGCAAATCTCCAACCAGATGAGTCACTATCCAAAACTGTTCCAGGAGGTGTAGCCATCGATGAAGAAAGAAGAGATCAAAAGTAGTGATGATTGAGAAGAAGCTCTTGAGTATCAGTCAAAAGTGATTTGTTGAGAACAGTATGAATGATATTGAGATCTTAAAGGGAGCTTGATTGATGAGAAGTTGTCTTGAATGGTTTGATTCTGAATGAAGTTCTGATTTGGTTGATTTGATTTGATGTTGATGTTGATGTTGTTGATGATGATATAGAATGATGAACAGTTTAGATATGGTTTTGATGAAGTTGAAGTAGTTGAGAATGGTTTTTGAGTAAAGTAGTAAGCTGTAGTAAGTAGAGTAATCGGTTGAATGGTTCCAAGTTGAAGTTCAGTTGGATTATGTAAGGTTAATTTGACCTTTTAAAATCAGATTATTCTGCTTTATTAGGGGGTTCGATTCGATTCACTTAAGCTTATCTTAATGGATTGGTTAACTATTTCTTTTCTTTTCTTTTTGTTTTCTTTTCTTCTTATTTTGATTTGTAGAGAGTTCAATCAAGTACAAACTCAAACTGTTTAAAGGAAGACAACTTTGATCTTTAAAAGGAAGATCAAATCAATCTCAATACCTTGCCCTTCGTTGACCGTTCCCCTAACTATAGTTGATTACCATATCCTACTACTTTCAATCCTCTCATGGTTTCTTCAAGAATTTAATTCATCTTCAGAATCTGTTACTTGCGTACACCGATCAATCCGATCATGATCAACTGCTTATCTGATCTCTTGCCTTACCTTCATCATCTGATACTCTCACTAGCAATCATCAAGTTTGCAATCTCAACCCAAAAAAATGTCGTACGATGTATTCTGATGTGTGGAATGATGCCGACGTTTAGCAATCATTCCTCTCATAAAGATTGATCTTGTGTTGTCACAAAGAAAGACTCAAGCTTATTTGAGTTATAAACAGTAAGAACATATACAAAGACTTCCAGCTTCCAAGTCAAGCCTCACCTCAAATAAACTCTCTTGGATTCACAATTCAAAATTAATCAGCTCATACAACTTCTACTATGATCTACCTTTAAAAATCATCAACACTTTATGTTTTTTTCACATGCTTCTGTCTAATTCATCCAAAAGAAAAACACAGTGCGTGCCGAAATCAATGGGAAAAGAAGTTGAAAGAAAAAAATGAAACTTTTTAAAACCTTAATTTCCTGTCAATCTTTTATGGATCACTTTGATACACTCTGTCGTTCTTACAGAGCTTGCCGAAAATTCCGCGCCAAACTCGAGCAGTTTGGCGGGAAAACTGGGACAAGCTTTTTGAGTACACAATTAGGATAAAGAGAATTTCTTATAGAACTTCAATTGTTACAAATCAAAAAAAAACATTCTCCAATCCATAAAACTTTTCATCTTAAGAATGTAAAGCTTAATGTGAGGTTCTCATGGTAAGGCAAAGAAAACGCAAATATGATGAAAGGAAACAATCCCTAGTGGTACAAGAGACAGAATGAATGAGAGAAAGATAAACTAGAAAGTAGAGAAGAACATTGAGTCTTATATATTTCAAAGGCACGTATAACCAAGGTACATAATAATAGATTGGTAAAGGAAACAAAATAATATGTAGCATATATAATGAAGAATGAAGAATGATGTTATGACCACAACTTCAAGCAAGAAATGAAGTGATTAAGAATTCATTATCAACAAAAAGCTGATATGTATTACTATTATAGCTCATGTATTTTGCCATATGAAGATCAAAGGATTTCAAAAAAAATTCCTCAACGCTAAAAAAAGAGGATTTCGAAGATTATCGACTAGATTTATGGACCACACCAACAACATGGGAACCAACAGTGACATGGAATTGGAAAGCTTTTAAAAAAGAAAAAATAATTCACCAAATAAAAAACATAAATCTGTAAACCCAACAATTTTCTCAAGAATAGAAAGAAAAACTTAAAAACTTAATCAAAACTTACCAAAATGGTATTAAGAAACCTCCTTTAAGTCTCATCAGAGGCGTCTCACCCGACAAATTCTTTGAATCGGTTGATAGTCCCATTTCCTGAACTTCTAGAGTTTCAATTCTTTTTGAGGCTTCACATTCCGAGGGTATTTTCATTGGAGATGTGATCTGGTAAGTTGACTTGTGTGGTGACAAGCAGGGTTGAGGCTCGTTCTGGTTGGTGGATATCATTGTATGGAAGCTCTAATTACTTAAGCTGAGAGGTTTGCCGGGATGGCCAAAGATAGGATGACAGTTTTGTTCAGCAAAAGATACGACGAAGCTAAAAGGAAGAAAGCAGGATAAATCACCTATTGGAGAGCTTATTTATGCACAAGAACTGAGAAGGTGGCGAAGAAAAATGAACCAGGTGCGGAGAAGAAAGACGTTGGATGAGAGTGATGAAGTGGTGTTATATACTATAGCTGAAGTACTCTGATCTTGAGGCTGTGCACTCAACTGATCGGTTTCGTGTTTTATAAGCGGACTGATAGCCCACCAAGAGATTTATGCAAGGGTAGGTCCCCAATAAACATGTCAGAGGGTGTTTACACATCATAGCACATGAGATTGATCAATTCAAACCAAATCATTCCCTTTGACTTGTTGAGAAAAATGTAATACCAATAACAGTTTACTAAACGAGTTGCAAATCTGGAGGTTGAGACTTTAAATGATCACATAGACTTTTTGCTCGATTATTTTTATCTTGATATGCCGTAGATGGGGTAATGAAGGTCTAATACTAGGGCACTTGCGATGACGGATCGCCACTGCACTGCCACCAGGTCAATCATCAAAATCGACGAGGGAGACGCACATTCTAAATCTCACAAGCAAAGAAATGTCACAGCGAAACACCTTCATCACATTGCAAGGACTTTGGCGCTCTTGATTTTGCATCATCTCAATGAGCCCATCTCAATGTCATGTACTCGCAAGATCGATATTTCTGTATGAGCACACCAAATGCACTTCTAACTCAAACAGTCAAGTTGACTCGCCTATAGCAGAAAGTGAGTCGTGACAGTATGAAGAAAAAGAAAGGTTTTCTTTCAAGCAAATCCCCAGATTCTTTGAAACGAAGTATCAGTAATTTCAGACAAAAATTCCTCACTCGCCCCACAAAATTCAAAAGGCTCAAAGTCATATAGAAATTCGGTCAAGAGCCCCTCAATGTAGTTTACCGGAGCTCTTGTGGAAGCGAAGTAAGCGACCCAATCAATTCACAAACCAAGCACTCTGATCCAAACAAATTCAATGAATGATAAAAAAACCCTCCTCACTCCATCATTTTCTTGATCCATCAACTCGATCCTAACAAACTCAATTCAATGAACCAAAACCTAATCCTCAAATTTCATACCACATAATTCCTAACGAGATGTCTTGTTAAACATTTTCTTTCAAGTAAAAGGAAAGAAAGTCTTTTTCTTAAATAATTTTACTAATTTGAACGTTTGATATAGAAGTTAAATCTTTAGAATGTCCACCTGACCATTTAACTCCATACAACACTCTTCTGATTCGATCATAACTTCTTGGCCATAAAGGTGATTCTGATTTTAAACCTAAGAAGAAGAAGAAAAAAAAATCAAGTTTTGGTAATACAAAAGGTAAGAAGATATTTCCTTTTTTTTGAGAGAGAATGATTGTTCTAACCTATTTTTGAATCATACTTAGGTGCGTAAGGTTTAATCTTGAAGTCTACATCTCGAGGATATATCTGACTTGGATTCTTTAAGACTATACAGGAGAGGAATCAAGACGTGCAGATGATGAGAATCAATGAAAGAAGTCATCAGGATAGATTTAAATCTAGACAAAAAGAAAAATCGTAAAGAAAATTTTGACTTATGACTAACCAGTTAAGTGATCTATCTTTCCATGTGTTTTAATAAAGGGTAAACCAGCAACGTATCCAACAATCAAGCAAAACAAAGTGAGCATAGAAAATCTCATCTTTGTTAAAAAATCTAAATAAATGTAAATATCTCTAGGAGTATTTATCTTGAAATGAAGTATGTAAAGCTCTGCTTAGATCACTTGGTATTTTTTTTATAAAAGAAGCGTGTAAATATCAACTTATTAACTCAAGATAATAAGAATCAACTTGGAGGAATAAAACTGGTTGTTGTCGATTCATTCCAAAGACTTGACCTTTTATTTTGAAGCCTGGCGTGCTTGAACATCTTGATCAGATAACTTTATCAATCTTTATAAATAAATAGCAATCTCCCCAACCGCTATATAAGCCGATATATGTATGCAAGATAGATGACCATCACAACATAAGAACTTGAGTACAGTCTAACCCGCGCTAATGCATAATTTGGGGAGACTCACTTTCCTATGCAATTAGACGGGTTATGCTTTTTGACCTACACCCCCAAAATGCATAAAAATATGCATTTAGATTTTGGGGTGTATTGCATAGAATTATGCATTAGTACGGTTATTGTATTACCCCACCCATATGGGACAAGAGAGGGTGAAGGTGGGAAAACTTCAGTAAGAAAGTGTTTAATTTTGAGGACATTTGTTGTCTATTTAGTACAATATGTACAGAAAGAAACAAAAACAATTGTTTTCAAGAACATGCTTTATCAAGTACAATGTGTTACAAAAAACAGTCAACAAACAATAACTTTTGAGGACTTGTGCTTATTTGGTACGACATGTACAAAAAGAAAGAAATTGAAGTATTTTTGAAGGCTATTGATAATCAAGTGTTAGATATAGTCACACGTTGGAAGAAATCAGTTATTGCCACTTGTTTTTTGTTACCAAAAAACAGCTCGGACTCAAGCATCTCGGCATACTTCTGCAAAGAGTTGTCCAATTTGAGACCAGAAGCTGTACCAGTGCCCTCTATGTGAGCTAATTCCTTGTTTTCAGTAGCAGACATGATGAAAAAAGATGCAAATTGATCTAAGGGAGCCGAAGATCGTGTGAGGTGGGTGATATCACTTTGCTGATCATTCCAAAGCACAACTGCTGTTGCTTTTTGTCAGTATCACCACCACATCACTGGGTTTGACCTATGCAATACCGCTTCCAAGATATAATTTTTTTTGCTTTGACCCTATGCATCATGCAATATGCAATTAAAATCTTGTTTTGGCCCGCACCAGCGTGGTGGAGACCAAAACCTATGCATTTTGGCTGGATATGCATATGCGCGGGTATACAACAGCGCGGGTTAGACTGTAAGATGTCAGAAGATTCAAGTGGGAGAATCTCGTGAAATCTCCATTCCCACTTTTAAAAATACAACAACAATATTTTTCGAGCAAAACACTCTGTGATACCTAGTGAAGCCTTAAAGCAATGAGGTCATCAACCCGACGGACCTAGCCTTGTCTTGAGCCTCATCATATCTCATCATGATGATCGAATGCGACTTTCAGAAGTTCAATGGAGATAACTGAAAGTAAAGATATCAAAAGCAATCACCTATACAAGATCAATTTTGATCTCGAATATAGCTGATCAAGTCCGCAATATGAGGATGAGTATCAGATCTCTTAATTGACTTCTTGATGACCATTTTCTACTACCCTCATCTTCATCAGAGATCTGGGGACAATCTTGGTTGGACAAAATTCCAAGTTGCCCCACTGGTGTACATAACCCCTAACTCTATTAATCAAAACCCTAAAAGCTCAGCCGAAAGCCAACATGAACAGGGGATCCCGGGGGAAACACTTGATTTGCCAGACACAAATCCATCTCTGCACTCTTCAAAGTTACCGACTTTGATATGTTGTAGTGTGACCCACTCAACCAATCGAAGAAAACAAATGACGTGGAACAAAAATCCCATCATCAATCTACCACTTATCAGCTACAATCATCTATCCGCTGATCCATAACTTCTTTGTAAAACGATAAAAATTTGTATTGATTACATAAGATAATTAACCTCAAAAAAAGAGTACCACATTCTGAAAGGAATGAACACTGAATTGAATACACTACGGAAAAGAAAAGAAAAAGTAAGATTAAAGATTACAAATCAAATGTAAGGACGAGATGAGAGCCTTGGGTAATGTTTTTCGAAAAAGGCAAAAGACTTTTGAAAAGAATGAAACCCCATATGATTCGAAGACTTGAATAATTAAAGGATGTAGAGAAATGTGATACGATCGTACCTAAGATAATGATTAGAATAGTACGAATAATGTTTGAGATAGTTTTACATGTATAGATTTGAACTCCTTGTTGACATGATGACGACAAACCAAGGAGCCATTATTAAACTCATGCAAAAAAAGTAGATTAGGTAGATATAGAAAAAAAACGAGTTTGTTTAGATTATTCATCTTCAAAATGTATTAGTTAAAGATGAATGATTTTGTTTCTGGATGTATTTTTATTTATTTATTTTTTCTGAAATCGAATGATGTTTTCTTCAATTCTCATAAAGCTCTTCAAGTTGATGTTCAAGTTCAAGTGCAGCTTTTGAAAGTTGACTAAAGTCAGGTCCAATAAGTGAAATTGTCACTTGACCACTACTAAAGTTCGGATAAGAACCCAGTTTGATCCCAGCTGGTGCCAGCTGTGTAGCAAATCGACTGAGGCATGGTGCAATACTCGATTCCGTTAAAGATGTCACCACAAATTGACGATCTGTAAAAGTTCATACGATAAGTTTCTAGGCAAAACAGAGAGAAACCATGATCATGATCGGAACAAGAAATGAGATCTTACGTGGTTGATTGGCTTTAGGTGGCAGAGGGATGTAGTTTTCGACGAGAGCGTCGGCTAGTTGGGTGAATAAGGTAGGTACACCGGGTAGAATGAACAGACGCCGTCGTAGCTGAACAACAGGAACCCAAAGATGTGGGACCACAAAGAGTACCTCACGATCCATTTTCGGAAACAGTGCCATTCGTCTCCTTGCTTCATGCTGAGCTGGGTTGAGTTTGGCAGTAGAGTTACGTCCTGACATGTAAGTATCCATGCGAGTGATAGTTTCGGCATCGTACTCCAGTTCACCGGCTGGATCCCATACTTTGGCAAGGGATTGGTAGGTGATGTCATCTAGTGGTAACCCAGTTCGATCGATCAAAAATAAATAATCAGTGATCTTGACACGCTTGGGGGTGTGTGCCACGTGGGATGTAGTGTAGGATGATAACCGATCATAAACATACCATGCGTTGGTCCAATCCCGCCAGATGTGAAGATCAAATCAAACTTTGACTCAGGCTCTGAGAGCCGACGAACACACTCGACAATCTCCGCTTCAATATCAGGAACAATCTCAATCTTATCAAGTGATATACCCGATCGAAATAGTAAACCAGCCAGATGATGTGAGTTAGTATCGAGTGTTTTCCCATTAAGAATCTCATCTCCAATTATCACACATGCTGCACGACTTGCTGGAGTTCTTTGAGTGAGATCGGTAGGACGAGGCGTGACAGGAAAGTTAGGTACGATTGGTTTCCCATCTGATGCGGTAGTGTTGATCATCTTTATGAAGCGTTGAGGTGAGAAAGGCTTTGAAGGTGGTTGAAGATGAGATAGTGAAAGTTGAGGAAGTAAAGATCGGGTCGTAGGAATCAATCGGGTCAACATTTTCAAAAACAAACTTGGATGAATTCAAAATCAAAATGCAAAACAACCAATGAACTGTTCCACAAAGTCAACTTATCAAGGGTGCTTTGGTATCATGACTCATATGTCGTCCATCCCCCTTTCCCAGGGCGTCAGGCTCACTAACCCCCTGTAATACCACATAATATTCAAACCTCATCATCATTCATTCTCCTCGACTGATTTGATCATCTACAGGAGAACCGCGCGGACTCCCCAGATAAGAACCTCAAAGGGTTAATCTTATGTATAAGAATGATCCTAACTCATTTCGGTATAACCTAACTTGAGGTGGGTCATTACCAGGGGAGAAAGTTACCTCATTCCCGCCAGAACAGGACAGGAGTGTGTAGCACTCAAGTACATGATTTACCTAACCTTGTATGACTGCTCATCTTGTACTCCATATCACTTGGCTAACAGATCACGGCCTTCGGCGCCGAAAATGTATTGCCCAAGAAGAACAATTTTTTCCTTCTCTCTAGGAACACTTTGTTCAATATTCGAAAATGCATGTGTCATTTAGCTATCCACTCAGACCTGAAAGCCCCAATTACAACAAGATGATGAAGATGAAGATCATCAATGAAGAAGTGAACATCACAGATACTTGAATGAAGACTCAAGCCATTCAATTTCTTTCAAAACAGCTGATAAGATTCAAAAGTATATCATCAACTATAAAAAATTCATGATCAATCTGAAAGAAGTCTTCATTAAATTCCAAACCAACTAAAATCCAAACCAAACCAAAGCTTTCAAAACTTCCAAATCTGTGAAACAATATCATCAACTTCTAAACCATCTAAAGTCTTAGAAGGTTTAAATGAAGTAGCAAATAAACTTAATGCAGGTGGTTTTCTAATTTGTCGATTAAGTTCAGTATCAAACAACTAAAAGAAGAAAAAACAAATTCCCATCAATCGAAAAACAAAACAAAACAAAAAGATTCATCAGTTCAATCCATTAAACGAAAAAAATCAGAAAAAAACTAAACTTACAGTTTTATAAGTATGATCTAAAAAATCTTCTAAATCATAGTTTGGTTTATCAAACGCTTCAGAAAAGACTTTGGATAAAGTCGAAATACTAGATAAATAATGAGATCTTAAACTCGATAATTCCCATAATGAACTAAAGATTGCACCTGATCTTAATGGATCAAGTTCATTTATATCAAATGGATCTATAGAAGATTTCCGAAAAGAAAAAACCGGTTAGTTAATTCAATTGGTCTCTCATTTTTGAAAGTCAAGAAGCTATCGTACCATCGTTTTCTGCGCTCACTGAAGTAGACGCATCTTGTCGATGTAACATTGACATACAACTAGGATGTTGTTTAATCAAATTATAACAAAATGGAATCATCGTAATAATAGCACCAGGTGGAGCAAAAAGACTTAGTCTAGCTAATTTCTTGATAAATGAAGCCACAATATTCACAGGTAAATGTCTAAGAAAAAAGGAATATCAATTCAATTCATGAGTTCATAAGACACGAGTTCTTTGAAAATCACTTACGTTGAAGATAAAAACGTATTGAGCATTCGAAAAAACCTAGGTCGGTGTCTGGCATGTAAAACTGAGCCATCCAATAAAGCATACAAACGAGTATAAAAAGCTGGATAGTCTCTACATGAGATTTCGAAATCCAAAGAATCAGGATGAAGTTCAACAAGATTGAATGAGCCAGAACCAAAGGTTTAGAAAAGTCAAATAAAACTCACAAATTATGTTTAGACATCAAAGTGAATAATCCATTAAGAGCAAGTATAGATAAAGTACCACCTAAATCAATACAATCGACCAAGAAATCCATCAAGATCTTGGGATCTGGCATATGAGGAATCACTTGAAGATGTAAGATGTTTAAAACTCTTTTGATTTCAGATTCAATTAAACCTAAACTTAAAAACGAAATCCAACATTCCGAAAAGACCTTTTGATGTGATTTTAAATGTAATAAAGGATGTAATTTCTCATTCTTTTGCTTCACATTTTCTTCCGGATCTTCTTCTTCTTCATCTGATGAATCATCAAAGATTCCAGTACTACCATCATTTGAGATTTTTAATTTTTTGTTTTGTTTTAAAGATTTAGTGGGTTTACGTTTTTTAGGGTTTATCAGTATAGGTGGTTCACCTGTCCAAAATTGATTTAATTCTTCTGATTCGGTTGGCATGGTGGTTAAAGCTTCTAAATATTGTAATAAGTTTTGAACAATCGATCTTGAGGTTTGAGCATCTACTTCATTAGAGTCTGGTGATTTTTTTTGATGATTGATTGGAGTTGGATTATTCCATTGACATATAGATCTAAAGACAGTTAAGATTTAGTATCAATTTTCGAATATCTGGATTTGAGATAGAGATAATCACTTACGCTGCATCTTTAAGAAAGTGATAACGAATATCATCACAATAATTAAAATACCTCAAAATAAATTCAACTTTAACTTCTTTTCGAACAAACGGTTGATCAGGCGAACCAATCAAAAGAGTTTTCACCAATTTCTTAAATGTTAAACTATTGAAACCTCCATTCGGAACTTTGATGGGTTTACCAGGATTTTCTTTCGAATGTTGAATCGAAAGTGAAGTAGATAATTCACTTTCTCCTCTAACTAAACTCATCAAGATCGTAAGTCCATCAAGTGATAATTGTTCATACTCATGATCATCTTTAATCAAATCCAAAACACATTCAATATATTCATCATATCTTTCTTTTAACCATTCAGTGACTACTTTAAGTGCTTCTTCTGAATGTGTAGAAATAGGTGCAGTGTGAATTCTTCCTTGACGAATAAGTGTTGAGAAGATCCTATGTAAAGCATAAATCGTTGTATGAATCAATTCATAAGTTAAAGCTGAGTTTGGTACTTTTAAATCTACCAGGACATTGATTAAATCTGAGATGGGATTTAAATCTTGATGTTGTGATAGTTTGATGTGTGATTCTAATTCTTTGATTTGTTGAAGTGTTAGCTTTGATGAATGTTTTGTTGGTTTTGTACTTTTCTTTTGTTTTCTTGAAGTGTTTGTGTTGATCGACGTTTTTGGTGCTGGCATGGTTGAGTTGAATGAAAATGAAAAAGTTTGAATTCGGTTCAGAATCAGATCAAGTGGTCAAAAAAAATGGAAGACAGTCAAGTCACGTGCAGAAGTTACATGTCCTGAAACCTACATACATACTGTTACATACACTGGAATCTGGATTCCAATTTGATCATTCAATTTCAACACTTTCAAGTTTCAATAATGGTATTCAAAACTCGAGAAACTGGTCCAAGAAGTGTCAAGAAGTGACATCTAGAAACTTCTTGGACACCTCAAGAAGTTTCTAGATGTCACTTCTTGACACTTCTCGGAAATATTTGAAAGCACCTTCGAGACCTCTATTCCACTTACCCTTTGCCAGCTTTGCCTCACATCTCAAGATGCCGCGGGTCTCATCCCGACAACAAGTCCTACAAGTCCTGAGAAAGGTATCACGCCACCTCCTTGCTTATCCCAAAGACAACATACTTCATCTATCTTCAGCAAAGCATCCCTCAAACACCTCAAAATCACTATCAACTCTGCTCCTCCTGCCTCAGTTACTACCAGATCTTCCACTTATGCCAAAAACTCGCTTAACTTTGGGTTTCATCCTGAAAACTAGAAGGACAGGAAGACTTGAAGACTTTGATTTGAAGACCCACGAAGTAGAATTATGGTTGGCGGAACTGGAACGTGTGGAAAGTCAGCGATACCTGACTTCCAGAACCCTCCGCAAACGAGATCATTCCCACGAGCTCTTCAATGGTATTATGATCGCTTCAGAGACCATATTCATGAAATTGGCAAGCTCTCTTTTTTCTTTACAGTCTTTTGAATTGTTTCTAACGACTGCTTTGATGATATAATCAGGCGCGAATGAAAAAGGATAGCTTCATTACCCTGTTTCGTAAGATTCAAGATAGCCAAGTTTTCAGAAACCATTCCAGCAATTCTCAAGCAAAAGTTGAAGTCCAACTCTTGGTTGCCCTAGCGAATATGGGCCTTTCGGGAAATGGGGGACAAGTTTCACTCATTGGCCGTTTATTAGGTGTTTCGGGTTGGTGCTTGTTTATAAAGCATGTAGTTCGTTTTCGGTTACTGACTTTGGTACCAATTCCAGAGGGGAGTGTTGAAAACTACACATGGCGATGTGTAGCGGCGATCCTTGAATTGCAGCCTCAATATCTTAGCTGGCCATCCCCACAGGAACGTGCAATCATCAGGAACGAGATCGCTGAGGATCACCCAGCTTTGAAGGGATGTGTAGGGTTTGTTGACGGGACACTTATCCCCTTGGCTTTTGGTCCAGTCATCTGCAAAGAGGACTACTGGACCCGAAAGTATTTCTACGGACTTAATTCAATGATTGTGTGTGATCATCGGCGGCGGATTACTTTTGCACGCCATGGATGGTGTGGAAGTGTTCATGACCAGCGAGTTCTCAGAACTTCAACAGTAAGGTTTAATTTTTGGTTATTTTTTTGGGTTCTTTCAAGAATTACAGAAGCTGATCAAGTCTGTAGCTTTGGTGTCAACCCGGTCGCTACTTCTCCGAGGGAGAGTATATAGTTGCCGATTCAGGTTACAGCGCCTCAAATTGCACCCTTCCTCTCTTCAAGAGAAACTCGGACTGCCAACTTCCTGGTCTCAAGAATGCCTTTAATAAAGATCTTAGTGAGGCACGAACGGTAATTGAACACGTGAATGGAATGCTCAAATCACGCTTTCAGATGATGAAGGAATTGCGACTGGTTTTGCGAGACAAACGGTCAATGAAACGGGCAAACGCGCTTTTGATGGCGTGTTGTCTGCTCCACAATTTTCTTTTGTCGGAGGATGAACGCACATCCTTTTCTTATGGTCTTCCTAATGCAGCCAAGCGTGAGGAAGAGCGACAATATTGGGAAGAGACCCCGGCAGTAGTTAACGCAGTGCTTGCCGATAACAATGACTCCTTACGCAAAGAAGTATTTGCAGAATACTGTTGTCTAATGGGAGAAGTAGTCTGATGTTTGTAAGTGTGATTTGCTGCATCTATTCCTTTGCTCAGAATGAAGGAATATTAATCATGAAATGATTGATATTTTCGATAGTCGATTAAAACTCTTCGATCACAGTTTCTTTTGCCTTTCTTTTTTCTAACAATTAAAAATTTCTTTATGTGAAATCATTACAAAAAACGTTGTAGTCAAATTTCAAGTCGACTCACACAAGGATTCAGAATTTAAATCGTGCTGTTTTTTTGAAAATGTTATCTTCTTGCCTTATTATGGTTAAATGATCTAAATCGATCAACGTTTTTAAAGGTTGTTCTTCTTGTCTTACTGTTTTCAATTGTGTTAGGCCAATAGATTGTTCTTCCACTCAAAGTAAGGCAGAAACCTTTTTACCAACGTTTATTTGGTTTTGGATAAATTCAGTGACCGAGGAGAAGTTTTGCAAACGAAATCAAAGAAAACAGTTTGGTATTACATCAAACACAGTTGAATAGTGACTTCTCCAAAAATTGGAAGAGACAAGACGATTCAAAAATAATAAAAATCATGACTAAAAACAAATCCTATGAACCATTGTTTGGAAGACAAAAGACAATCCAAAAATACCAACAATTATGACCAAAACGAGTTCAGCCTACTTTCATCAAGAGTAGTTGTTGCTCTAAGTACCGCTCATTCTTCTGCCAACATTTGATCCACAGTTTCTTTCGCTTCGGTCAAGCTCATACTGAAGTTATCCATGTATTCTTTGTACAGGCGTCCTCGCATGGAAATATCTTCTATTTTTGATTTCTTCTTTTGACTCTCCAACTCTTTCTCAAATTTGATTAATTCCAGATTCTCTCGACGTCTCTTGAGCTCTCTTGTTTCTTCCGAAGTTCTTTCTTTAAAATCTAACTCGGCTTGTTCGTAATTCAAAGTTTCCCTTTTGATTTGGAGCTCCTGTAATGATTGACTGTGCTCATTGGTCCCCGGGTTTAAACTCTTAGTGATCGCATCGGTGAGTTTGTTGTTAGAGAGGACTTCTGATTGTCTGGCTGATTGCTCGGCTAACATGTGTTTTTTCTTGAATTCCCACTCAGCATCGCGTTCTTCTCGTGATGGTAAGTGATTAGTTAAAACTGAAGATGAAGCACCTGAGTTGACTCGAGAGGATTTGCTTCTTCCACCGTTTGTCGAATCAAATGATGCCACATATGAGCTTTTTCGAGGGGAAGCATGACGAGTTTTTGAAACCTTAGAACGAGATGAGCTATGAACCTCATGACTTGTTGATTCTTTGACGCTGACATCATTCAAGTTTTCAGGTTCTTTGTTTTCATGTTGATCTTCATCATCATCATGTAACACTTCAAAACGGGGACTCTTGATTCCAGCAAACAGTCGATCAAGGGAAGTTTCGTCATTGAAAGGATCATCATTGTGTTTGTTTTGATTAGCTTGGTTGGCCTCGAGTTGATTGTCTTTGGGGTCAACAGTCATTTCTTTATTTTTTTGAGAAGGTAATATGGCATCTAAATCAATCACGTCATTAGATTCCTGCACAGCGTCTGGTGAGTTTGCCTTTTGTCTTCCAAACGCTGGGGCCATTTCTTCAAAATATAGACATTTTTTTTGAGCAATGCTTTGGAGATTAAATAAAGATGTATTACATATAGATTAGTTGTATATCTAAAAGCACACAAACATAAGGGAAAAACTGACCATCAAACAAATCTTCTACTAATGACAGTCGCTCCTTCCATGCCTCGCTATCAGACGAGTACCCATTTTCCTCCTTCTCACGAATTGCATCCTCCATGAGTTTTTGTTTTACACCTTCGCCCGTTCCTTTGCGGAAGTCACGCCCGTCGCGGTAACTTCTCTCAAGTTCTCGGATCTAATTCCAAAAGAAATTCACCCGTAATTAACATATGTAAATGATGTTCAAGGAGTGGATAGACATACCTGGAATTCAACTGCGGTAGGTTTTATGTTTGGAAATCCGTTTTCAGCGAGGTACTTGGCAACCTCTTCGGCTACGCTTCCCTTGCTGATAGTTCCTCCTTCACCTCTCCACCAGTCTATACGATGACCATCACCATCAGGAGTTATCAGCCATTCAACTACAGTCCAAAGCGGTGTCTTGCCGTCCTTATTTTTGTCTGTGCGCCACCCGGTTCGAGAACGGACAGGGGAAGATGGTGGTTTGCTGTTCGACTTGGGAGCAGGTTTTTTGCGAGATCCCTTTGCACGCTTGGGATTTGAAATAGATTGGGTCGAATCTGGATCGGTAGGAAGTTTTTCTTCAGATTGAATCAAAGGTTGTTGGGGTGTCTGAGACATAGTTCCCCAAATTTGCGGGTTGATACTGGGCGAGATATGGTGGTGGTGGAGAAGTGGCGAGTGTGGATTGATAGTTGGCGAGACAAATGTATAAGGGTAGTGAAGAATGGGTGGAGCCTGTCCTGCAAATGACGAGGCCGATGGAGTACGAGAAAGAGGGGAATTCGAAGGTGGTATATCCGCCATATGATTGAAGTTGAATTATGCGGGTTTTAGAAGGAGGAGCACAGAGGGGAACGTGATGAGAAATACAGGTGTACTGTTTTCCAAATATGGATGGATTTGACCCGAGAAACATCTTGCAGCCGAGAAACATCTTGAGGTGTCCAAGAAGTTTCTAGATGTCACTTCTTGACACTTCTTGGACCAGTTTCTCGAGTTTTGAATACCATTGATATTGGGTGTTGTAAAAATACTATTGCACCATTTTATTTCAACTTCAGCTTTGATGATGTTCATTCGCAGATATCTACAATCTTGAGATGTGCCCATATTCCAATGATGAGTATCTTTCCAGTTGTAGAAATAAACCTTTAACCTATATTGGTCACTTTTATGAGCTTGATACAAACGAGTCCCGAGGTGAAAGCAAGATTAGTTGACCCACACTTAAATCTACCAAGTAAAAATCAAGTCAATGAGATCAGGTTTATAGTAAAGAAATACAAGAGCTTGTTTAAAAGCTTATTGCCCCCCCAAAGCATCAAAACTCATTCAATCACAATCTCAACTTCCATCTTAATAATCAAAAGAGATATATAATACAATATTAAAAAAAAGGTCAATCATACAGCAACACCACACCAGACCTAATGAAATCATAGAAATACAAAATGCAAAAGAATCTCTCGAGAATTGATCACCAAGGTATTCAAAAAAATAATTATTAGATATAGATATATCAATCTTAAGATCCAACCCATTGTTTACATATAGGACATTCAGCTTTTCTTCTAAGCCAAGAACAAATACATTCTTCATGAAATCTAATGATTGAAACCACGAAAAGAAAAGATCAAATTCATGAGTTTAAATCGAAACCAAAGTTTTAAGAATCATGGATGGATTACTGACACATGTTCACATGCTAAAACACCCACACTTTCATTTTCTCTAAATTGACACAAACAAATCTACATTCAAAGATTGACCATCAATGAGCATCTCTCACTTCTAAAGCAAAAAAAAAGAAATCTCAAAACTTTAGCTTACCATACATTTATTACATCTCACTCCTTCCTTCACACGAAACTTAGTCTTGACTTTTCCTTCCTTATCAATCCTTCTTGAAACCACTTCAATGATTCCAATCTTTTGAATACCTCTTCCAATACCAGGTTCAGACAAACCTAAGGAATGAGAACTAGAAGATCCCATTAAATCTGAAAGCATTTGGATTTCTTCATATGTAGCTTCTCCTCGTTCTAATCTCAAGACCAATAAATCCAATTCAGTAAACCTATGTTCTTGAACTTCATTCGCACTTGTGATATTCTCATCATTCGTCCTAGTGAGTTCTTCTACCACCGTTTCACTCACGATTTGTTCGTCAGCTTCTTCCTCTTCTTCGACCAATGTTTCACTTATTCCTATATTCATCAATTCTTCACGTCGAGGCCCTTCCAACTCAACAGGTAAGCTTCGACGGTTAAATGCCCTCTCTTCTCTTGCCAACACAGATCCTTCTCCTCTGTTGGCGATCATCGAAACTCTCGCTGCGCGTGTTGATGTTGAAGGTGGTGGTGGCGGTGGACGTCGCCGAAGACTTGATCCACGTCTCAACATACTATTCACTTCAGCCGGCGATGCAGGAAGGGGCGCATGGGTGGGCGAAAGAATTGTAGAACTGTTGGGCGATTTGGATGGCGGCGGCGGGGGAGGTGGTCTTCTTCGAGTTGGATCAGTTGATAGGCGTGATTGCAAGGTAGGATATATGAAGGCTGGACGCGGTGGGGGGATCGGGGGTGGTATACGCTTTGGCGAATTCGCAGTAACGCCGGATCTGGGCAGCGTTATCAGTTCTGGCTTCAAATTATTTGAAGTTGATGGTTGAGTAAGAGGCGGTGAAGGTGAGGATCTTCGAGGCAATTGGCTAGTGGCACTGATGTCAGACGCGGGTGCTGAATCTGAGGAGTGCGGGAAGCCTGAATCTTCTGGAGGTGCACATGGTGAAGATGGTGGTGAAGGACCGATGACCAGTCTGATCGGGACCCAGACGGTTTGTTGATCATGCTCCGCGAGCGTGCAGACACGATGTGAACGATCCCAAGCCGCAACGCGCTCTGATAAATCCAGGCTGAGGTCCCATTCGGGCGCAGCTTGTGCATAAGTTGGCGGAGGGCTATGAGGCCGACCATTGTGACCAAAGGAGATATCCGACGGAGGAGCTGCGGGAGGACCACCGAGTGGGGGCGGATAAGATGGTGCCGTAAAAGGTGGAGGCGGATTGCGCAGGTCCTCTAAGATTTCACTGTAATCTACTTCAGGATGTCCAGACCGGATTCGCGGGGGGTCAGAGACCAGAGGTCGCCTAGGAGGTGTGGTTGAAGCTGGAAGACCATCATCTGAAGCAGAGCTAATGACGACAGAGCTTTGTCTAGAGATAGGCGCACTGTTAGGCTGTTGACGCGAAGATGGACGGGGTGGACCTAGAGAAGGTTGGCAACATGGAGAGGGAGTCATATTTGAACTGATCGATACAGCAGGTGAGCTTCGATGATCGACCGGAAGCAAAGACGGCGCGGGAGGCGAAGGGGTCACCGTAGATTCGGGTCGAGAAAGGGCATTTATCGACCTCGATGACCCTGATGATCCTGATTGTTGGACTGTACCTTGATACGAAGACGATCTAACGTTCGAGGGGATCCGAGAAAGCTTTGGTTGAGTTAAGATGAGAGGTGGAGATGTTGCAGCAGATTTAAGAATTGGAGGCTTGACACGCTTGGGGGTGATCTGGGTGGTTGAAGAGGGTGGGATGGGCAAAGAGCGCGTCTGAGTAAGGGTGTGTGGCAGCCCAACGTTTCGAACTGCATCGAGTACGGTTTGATTGATTTGAGGTTTTTTAAGACGATGTTTCTTAGGAGTGATGATCTTGATAGGTTGAAATGAAAGACTAGATTTGGAATGCTGAGATGTTGATCGATTGCTAGATGAATGAGAATTGCCAGTTATAGGATAAAGTGAAGATGGATTGAGAGTTTGTTTGTGATTGTTGTTGTTTTGATTGGTTTGATTTGAAGTTGAAGGTAAAGAAGAGATTGAAGGTGAAGGTGAAGGTGAGGATGTCATTTGATTTCTTAATTTCTTCTCTTCAGACTTGACTTTTGAGTCTTGAGTGTTGACCTGTGTTGACCTTGTGTGATTTCCAACTCAAAACTTGACTTTCTGCTTTTCCATAGCGCGTGTGTACAGCTGTTTCAACAAAGATTGATTTTTTTTTGAAAATCTCGCCAATGTGCAAAACCCGGGTTTTGTCCTGTTTTGTCCCTCACCCGATTTTGTCTCTCGGCTAATTGGAAGAATACAGAAAAGAATAAACCTGTAAATCAAGTTTTGTCTCTGGTTTTACCCGCTGCGGAGACAACTTTCTCCAAAAAAAGTTGTCAACCTTTCTTGAAACGGCTGTATATGTAAACAGTAACACTGCATCACATGTAATCTCAAGATAGAAGTTGAACTTGCGACGGTTCACCATTCCAAATCTTTGACATGAACCTCCTTTGACTCTAGCGTCAATTCCACAAACAACCTAGATAGGGGTCGGCAGGTGTGAAAGTTGCTCAATGGCCTTTTTAGTTTTGTCAATCTAGATCAGAAGCTCACTTTTGCACTGAGGATTTTTATTGGCGCAGGCTACACAGAATATCCAATGTTTGGTGGTGTAAACAGCTCTGGTTTCCAATGTATGTTGTAGAACAGTTCTAGATAGACAAGACCTCAAGCTGAACTAATGCGACGGGGACTTCCTTTCACCAATTCCAGATATGACCCTTCAAGAATGAACTCAAACAAAATTAGAAACCAGGCCTAAGATTGAGTTGCTGTGGTTGATAGAAGCGCCCCTACCAATTTTAAAATCTAGAATCATTCAGCCGGGTTCTTGGCCACATAAGTATCAAGGATCCACTTGAAACACCAAAAGCTCATGGCGAGCCAAAATTAAAGGTATATAGGTGTTGGCAGATGATCAACCTGGTACAATCAAGAAGTATAATTATTCACAATAATCGAATCAAAACTTTACAAAAAGATCAATGATCATATAGACATATTCTATATACCAATTCAGCACAACTAAGAAGTAAAAAAAGACACAGGCGTCTTGTGAAATACAACACAGAAAATCGAAAAATAAGGTCATACAGTTTTTACATCTTTATAGCTTTGAGTCTGAACATTTGAGTTGATGAAGATCAAATTCCACATGATTGAAATTTCTCCGCATTAATTCATATGATCACAGGTGTAATTTTGATAGTCGATTCGAGGTATGTCACCACCTCCCCAGTATGGAGTGATCAAAGATTGGTAAGCTACCAGGGATTGATGTTGTTTTTGTATCCTGTTGGGTTTGGAGTGAATTGTGGTTGTTGTTGCTGCTGCTGCTGTTGCTGCTGCTGTTGCTGTTGCTGTTGCTGTTGCTGTTGCTGTTGCTGTTGCTGTTGAACATGTATATCCATCTCGTTTCCATTGTTATTGCCAGCTATAGCGTGAGGATCGCGCTGGAGGTTGTGAGGATGATGACCATGTTGATATCCAGCTTGAAAGACATTATGATGACCACCGATGTTCATCGATGGCCACCCTCCTGGGTTGTTAGGTTGAAGAACAGGAATCCCAATTGAAGTATCGTGCGCTGACGGAACTGGGATCCCATTAGAATGAGTCTGACGCCCATGATTTACGTGTCCTACTGCGATATCATGATTTGTTGAAAAGACAGGAATACTGTGATTCACGTCTATTTGCATATTCGAGTCATTGGCTCCATCCATCATATTATTGCACGGGACATGAATACTATGATCAGGCTTAGACATAGGCACCGGTATACTGTTGGTGTTAAGCGATGGGACGGGGATGCTGTGATTGTGAGATGACAGGGAGGTATTACTGTTCGACAGCATCGTGGGGATCGATGCGTTTTGCATGTGACTAGAGTTGTTCACCGAAATCGAGTTATTGGTGAACACTGGAATTCCGTCTTGGTGACCCTGGGGGAGCCCAATCCCAGCATTGGCGACCGGTACAGGAATGTTTCCACCTTGACCCGCGAGTAATACACCACTTGCATGAGTTGGCTGATTGTTATTTGTAGTCGAATTCGGGAGCGGACGGGATTGTTGAGTGTTAGGCTGAGTATTATTGAGATTCTGAGCTGCAGCAGCGGCCAATTTACGTTCTTTTGCCAATCGTCTTGCCTCTGCCCTCTGCTTCTTCTTTTCGTCATCTGCGGCCAGTTCTTCGGGCGTCATGTTGAGCCTAGCGATCGCTTTCTTGCTGAGTTTCTTAGTGGGGGCTAGTACAGCAGCTGGCGAACCAGCTTCAGATACGCCGTCCTCAAGTTGGTTCTTATTTGCAAGCCCCTTCTTCTTTGCACCAGCAGTTTTCTTAGTGGGGATAGGAGCACAAGCGACTGGGGGAGGTATGGAGGGAGGTGACATGGCGGCCGCCTGGGCTGCTGGATTCGGAAGTTGAGGATGATGGATGGACTGTTGAAGGGCGTTCGTGCCTTGTAGTGGTGGATATGCCTCAGCTGAGGTGACTTGCTTTGAATCAGCAGAAGTGGAATGGGCCATGCGCTGCTCATGATGAGCACCACTAGGTGGCAAATTAGGAGCAGGGCTATGAGCTTGATCGGGTTGTTGAGAGGCGGACAAAGAGTCTTCTTGAGCTTGAGCAAGCTGCAAAGACGTATTTCGCATCCTTTTGATGAGATCAACCCGCGAGAACCTATCAAGAAGAGGGAAAGTATTGAACACAGAGGTCGAAAGCGATGTAAAATAAAGAAATGAATCCCATACGTCGGTGCGAACGCCTGTCCATAGCTTTCATCTGCAATATGCATGTATTTCTCTTGTCTATCGCGTTTCCTACGCATCGCTTCTTCCTCGCCAGAGTTCAGTGGTCGTTTTCTTGGACCTTTTTGATGAGTCGAAGGTTGGAGGGTAGTATCACACAATAATTGGTTTGCGATGCGGGTGGTGATTATGCTAGGAGATAAACACAATGGTGGAGTTGTCCTTTCCTGCGAGACGGTATCGATCAGGACCCATGACAGTCCTTCATAGAGCGAGGAGCACATACCAAAATTGCAGACTCTACAATTACGGCTTCCTCTTCAGTCATAGGTCCCCACTTGTATTGAGAGCCTTTTATTTCTTTTGCGATTCCTGCCATGTGAGATATCCTTGCTTCATTCATGATCTGAAGATCTTTCCAAAGAGTTTCGCAAGTAGGGCTAAGCACAAGACGATGAAGTGTCACCTGATCGTTTGGCAGATCTTGAGGAGGATCGCGATTAGTATTATCTTTCTTAGATCTATTAATTTGTGCAACAGCTGAAGAGGTTGGATGAGGAGAGTTTTGAGACGCTGATGGATCATCATTTGTTGGGGGTTGATCTCCTTGCTCAATTGCTCGATGATCATGAACTTCGACAATAAGGCAGCCATCATAAAATTTAACATCTGATTCATCCAAAACATCTAATATATCGTTGGGCATCTTCTGTTCACGAATGCAATCTATCCAATGTTTCAGTTCACCGTCATACGCATGAAGGGTCGAGTCGGGTTGACCCAGACGAAAGCCGGTAGAGTAAAGATGCATTATCAATGATGGTGTTTCTTTTCGATAACGCTTGAGGATAGCACGGATCGTTCGGGTAAGATTGTAGACTCCTGGGTTTTTGGTCGACATGATGATGATGATGATGATGATGATGATGATGATGAGGTAGTGTTGATGATTGGTGGTGGAAGTTGAACTGAAGGCCGCAACCGTGGTTATCCCGAGCCCAGGACTCCCTGGTCATGGGACGGACCGCATACCAAAGCCAGGGTACCGCATACATGCGATGTCAAGACTCAAAATGAGTCACCTACACAGGATGGTCTCCCTGCTCCCACTCCTCAGTTAGCTACGGACTGTAGGGTGGGGTTGATCCGCGATGGGATTCTTGAATGATGTGAATCCGCACCCAGTGGACCTCTCTTACATGCGCGTCAGAGAGGTCGCGGTGGGGGAGTGGCTGAGCCCTGCCTCTGGGTTGGTTTTCGTGAACCAACCTCTTGGCCGGCCTCGCGCCCTGGGTCGGTGGGTGGGATTCAATTTCGAGTTATCCTTAACTCGTGTAACTTTCCGAGTTATTTTAAAACCCGTTTCTTAAAAAACCCGCTTTGTACTCGTTATATAAAGCGTTTCCTCACTGTTGGGTGGGGGGGGAGGTATTAAAAAATTTTTCCGAATGTGTTCGAAAAAGGAGATGAATTATCTCGGTTGAGATTAATTATAAATTGAGCCTTGACGTTGTCTTGCGAGGTGAAAAAGGTTTTCGTTGAGAATTCTAGGATTCCAAAATGAAATTCTCAACTTGGTTGGCGCAATTTCTCGTGCGCGTGTGCATGCACATTTTCACCTCCGCTAAGTCACCGTGGGCATAGGAACCACTGCGTGCCTTGCGGTTCCCTCAACCCACTCCTCAGTTAGCTACGGACTGTAGGGTGGGGTTGATCCGCGATGGGATTCTTAAATGATGTGAATCCGCACCCAGTGGACCTCTCTTACATGCGCGTCAGAGAGGTCGCAGTGGGGGAGTGGCTGAGCCCTGCCTCTGGGTTGGTTTTCGTGAACCAACCTCTTGGCCGGCCTCGCGCCCTTCAGACCCGCCCACCCTCCGATAATTTGAGACGGGTTTTGTACGGTTGAGCTCCGGGACCCATCACTAGGCAGTACCGGTCCTCTACTCGTCGCCTAGCCACCTGAGCTCACCCATACCGACGACACCCGGACCGTGTCCTCAATATCAGGTTCGCCAACTCAATTGCTTCAAAATAAAGTTTCTTCTACTCAATTGAACTAGTATTCAGTATTCATGCGCGCCCGCCACATGATCTTCGTCCTGTACTACTACTGACGTCTCATCATTCCTTGCTAGACATCCACGTTTCTTTCATCGATTGCTTTTAAGAACTTTATCGTATCTTCTATGTCTTCCTCGGAATAGGCTTTCAGGTATCTTAGGTAAGTAAGCGACTTCCACCGTCCCTGCTTTGCTATTGTTCTCATCGGTGTGCCGAGGTTGTATCTGATTGATGTGCCTCCTACCCTGAATGAGTGCCCTGACCAAGTGTTTAGACCTGCTTTCCCCCAGCACTCGCCTGCTAGTTTTAGGAATCTAGGTTTCGTCACCGGTCTCCTTCCATTTGAGCTGGACGTGCTGAATATCAAGTCGTCGCGATCTGCCTTTTTGTTTGCCAACAACACTCGTTCTAAAGCTGCGACGGGATCTAATACGTTGAACTGTTGTTGTAAATGGATCATCTGGACTTCTTTCGATTTCGCCGTCTTCGCCTTCCTTAAGTGAAGTATTGCAAAGCGTTTTCCATCTTTTTCTCCAAACTCCATGTGCCTTCTTAACAAGGCCCCTTGTTCTGGTTTGTTCCTTAACAGTTCTCCTAACCGTGTCATTCCCCAGAACGCAATCAATGCCACCAAGCCTACAAGGTTCAATTCTTCTGATTTCACGTAAGTCGTCTTAAATAACTTGAACAATTGTCTTATCATAATCGGCTGCTTATTGGTCGTTAATTTCTGTTCTTCCTCTAGGCGTTTTGTAGCTCTCAATAGTACCGCTACAAACTCTGTGTCTGCCAATGGTCTCTTTGTATGTCTCACCATACTCCAGGCTCTAATCCCATCCAGGTACTTCTTTATCGTTACTGATGAGATTTTCCTACTTGGTCCATCTTCTCTTTCTAGCTTTGACTCTCCGGCCCATGCTATAAATTCGTATATATCTTTGTCTGATATTTCTTCGTTTTCGTCAAAACCACCAGCGGTTTTATCTTTAAATTCGATAAATTTACTCATGCCGCTTGAGTATCCCTTCAAAGTGCTGGTCTCCCATCCGCTCGTCGCCGCGTGTTTGCCGGCTAGTGATGTAGCTTCTTTCGCTGTTTCGAAGTGTTTCGGAAGTGCCGGTTGTGGTTTCTTTGGCATGATTGGACTTTAGCGGCAAGGATATCGGTAGGGGTCTTAAATTGGAAGAGGGGCTCTGAATCACTCAGGTTATAAAAAAGGTTATGCATTTCATTCTTGTATCACAAATTTTTTCAAGTCCTTGGGAATTCTAATCCATACTTCATCTCTCACGTGTTTCGAGGAGTCGAAACCCCTTGATAATTTATCAGCGGCATTATCTTCCGATCTCACTCTTTCTTGCCTCACTCTACAATCTAACCTCATCAATAGATCCTGGATTTGAATCCACTCTCTGTTCACCCAGCGGTTTTTTGACTTGCCGTTACGCACAGCGCCCTCCGTCATGACATTATCCGTAAGCACCAAAAACTCCTGTCCTTCTACTGGCATCAGTTGGGTTAAAATCAACAATCCCAGCCGTAGTGCGACAGTTTCTGCCCAGGCAATCTCACGCCTTGTATTATCGGCTTCGACTTTGTCCCAACCTGTTCGAAGCCGGAACCTTGACCATTTTCTGCCGATTACTATGCCGATTCCATATGAGGTTGATGCGTCGCCTACCCACGCGACGTTCCTTACTCCCGGGCTTGGTATCAACCTACGTGGATTGGCAGTAGACAGCACCTTTATCCATGTATCTAAATCAATCATCACCTCCTCCGGTATGTCGCGTAACGCTAATCTATTTACCCATTCTGCCATCCAGTGGTACATCGCCACACAGTGGCATTTCAACTGCGGATATATCAACGACACGTTTGCCAACCTTCCCGCTAGTTTCTCTACTTGTTTATGGTTCGACCGTTTCAGCGCCTTGAACTCCTGGATTTGCAATATCCTTAGGAGTCGCTTGGAGTCTTGTAGGCCGACAGTTTTGTTTTTACCGTCCCATACCATGCCTAGGTATTTTTGTTGATAATCAAATTCTTTCCATTTCGTAGGGTTTGTCACTACTCCCAACTCGTTGCTTAGTTCTACCACGTGTGTCATGTTGAAGTGGTTTGACCCGTCATCCGGTTTAACGAACAGCGTATCATCTACCCACCGAAAAGCCTGGGTGAATCCGAACTTTTTCTGGACGATTATTTTCCAGGTATCGGCTGCCTGGCCAAAGGAGCCGCATCCGGCTACTCCTCCAAACGTGATCCTTGTGTCGAGAAGGACTTTCCTGTCGAATGTAAGGATCATCAAATACGGCCATTGGCCTGGCTTCGTCGGGATCTGACAATAGGCTTTCGCCCAATCGTATATGCCTAGGAGTACGGGGTAATCGATAGATAGTAAGAATTTCACTACCTTGTCGAAATCATCCCATGACGTGATGAAATCGTCTTTGTCCACCATCGCGTTCACAGAATTGATTGTTGGTTCTTGTCTAGGAAATGATAAGTCATTTATGGGCCTTAAAGAACCGTCGCTGTTAGTGACCGCTCCTAATGGGTTCGTTCTGAAGAACCCGAGTTTATTGTAAGCTTCCTCTTTTGTGAATGGTCCGTACATTCTCCCTGCCTCAATTTCTTTTGACAAGTTTCCTTCGATTTCCTCTTTTGCCTGAAGAGCCGATGAATGATTAGGTGGGCAATAATATAGCATGTCTGGTAAGTGAATCTCCGGTATTCCTTGGTCAAAACCCTCCAGAAATCCGCGAAGAATGTGGCGTTTTTCTTGTAAGAGGTTGTTTGCTCTTAATTCTCTCTCCCATACGTGGAGATTCATTTCACATCTGACTTCTGTTGGCCATCTGCCCCGTGCTCTCCCAGTCGGTTTTGCTAGTGAGATTTCACGCCTGAAGCCTGAAGAGGGGCTTGTGTTCAGGTCGCTCTCAGATCGGGGGCTCACGTCTAAACGGGGACTTTTAGATGGGATGAGGGAAAAGGCGAGGGGAGGGGAGGCAAGGTCATTCACAGGTTAGGCACGTTTGGTCTTGTTCTCAAGCTGGCATCTCATGACTTCATTTCATAAATTGAAAATTGAATTATTCGTTTAAATTCCTTCTGATCGTGACTCACTAACGCTTCTTATGATATCTTCCGTATTTAGCACCCCGTGCTCCGTCTCTGCTACGGCTTCGGCTTCTGCCTCTCTCTAGGCTTCGGTCTCTATCTCTCCGCTCCTCATACCTACGATCGCTACTCGTGTAGTCCCTACGGTATTTCGACGTCGCTTCTCGTTTTGCCTTCTCTGCGGCTTTCTTTGCTTTGTACTCGAGAGGTGGTAGCCAACCTTCTTTCCTTGGATGCGTCGCCTCAGGTTTCGAAATCAAGGTCGACGATTGTGTCTTCGCCGTGGACGTTTTCGGGAGACCATCTTCTGGGTTCATGTTCTCCCTTGGGCCACCCGGTGCATAGGGATTTGTAAGGAATGCTCTTTCATTTAGATTCTTGCATGTCATTTTCACCTCATCGAGTATCACCGTTTGGATTTTCGAAATGTTGCAGATATTCCTGTCGGTCGTCGACCGCATGACTCCTTGGCGGATTCTTCGACAGTATCGTAACGCTACCATCCACCCCGCTTCCTCTCTCAGCTCTATGACTAGCTGTCGATGTTTCTCAAAGCGTTCTGCCTGAGTCTGCCATCCTTCCTGCCTTACATACTTTATGAACAGGGATATGGCGTCCAGCCACTGTTCATACTGCATCGTTAACTCGTCCATCGGTGGGTTTCCGCTGTACATTTTAACTCCCGCTCCGCCTTCCAGGATTTTCGATTCTGATAAAGCTTTCCTTGTGCACCAGGCTTGATGGTCTTGGATCAAGAAACTTTTGTTGAACACTGCCAAGGGAATGTAGGCCTTAAAGGTACGTAGATAAACCTGGAGTGTAGGAGACAGTTGAGTAAGGCCTTTCGCCATTTGTACTGAATCATCCTGTAGGATCCGCCGACCGTTCTCGATCACATCGCCGTTGGACAGCACCATTCTACCTTTGCCCGACTCGAGAAGAGCTTTCGCCAATTCCTCTTCCTCCACTGATGTCGTGCCGGTGGTAGCTTGTGGTTCAGCGTTGATCCGCTCAACCATCCTTCTCGCTTGATGAGTTGTTGCTCGTGTCCGACGGTCTTCCCCCACTGATGATGTATCGGAGAAGCCTTCTTCAATCAACTGGTACGGTGCCGGTGACCTACGTCGATTGCCTCGTTCACTCCGATGCTCAGCTGGTGCTGGTGATGCGTGAGAGTCGCGATCTTGCTCGTCCTCTGGGTACCTGCCTCTTTGAGCTCGAGACCTGCCTCGTCTATGAGGTGAGTCTCTAGTCGGAGACTCCGGAGACTTTCTACGCCTGGCCTGAGATTGTCGCCTCGGAGAGTCTCGCGATCTGCTTCTCTCGAAAGGTGAGGACCTTGGTCGGGATTTGCCTCTATGCGCACGCTGAACTCTGACCTCCGTTCGACTCGGTGTTTCACCAGGTTCTCGGACCGCTCCGTTGGTTCTGCTCTGAGGCATCTGGGCTTGTTGAGGAGGGGGGGTTGTTGAGTTCGTTGGGGTACTGGAGGGGGTCGCTGAGGGACAGGAGGAGGTTGCATCCGAACTACCTGTTCAGGTTGTTGACGAGGTGGTGAGATGCGTCTTGGGATCGGTGAGACTCTCCTGGACTCTCTACGACGGCTTGGCCCTACTGACGGGTCACGACTACCCCCGTAATCTGAAGGGACTCCCGGTGCGAACGTTTGTAAGAATTCTGCCAAGAGGTTCGCTCCTGCTGCCTTATCCAACGGATTGTCGCTCGAGTAAAGCTCTTCGATCCGCGCTTGCATGATCACAGCTTTATCTCCGTCCGCTGTTTCATAATGGGGGAGGCCACTTGTAAGTATACGCCTTGTTTCTCTGTCTGCTCTATTGTTCTGACATCGTAGGCTTCATCTCCACTGGAGCATGAACACGCCTCTCCTCATTTGCAGCTAGGGCAGCTCTTCCTGCCATTCTTGCTACACAACAGGTAGCCTAGGATCAGGGGTCGCGACAAGCCTTTCAACAATGCGCTTACGTCGGGCCATCCAGAGGATATCCTCGGCCGTTCTTGTGGCAACACTTCTTAAGACGAATGTGTTCCTAATTCGACGTGGTACGTGTGTAGACAATTGATAACTAGAGAGGAAAAGGGAAAGCCAAATGAGTTGGAAAGGGTTTAATAGTGAAGTACTAACCTAATGATGAAATGTCTTCTCCATTGATGTCGTCATCAGACGACGTACTCGGGTTTTTACGACCTTTCCCTTTGTCTTTCGGCGGAGAAGGTCTCCAGGATCCGTCTCGTTCCGTGTCTGAGGATCCTCTCATGTTTGGGCCATCCAATACCTCTGGTTGTATCTCTTCGCCGTCGATATTACCTCCGGTTATCAATAGCTCATCTTCTTCCTCTTCCTCCTGAATTTTGTCATCTCTATTCTTCCTCTTGTAACTTCTCTTCGGATTTTCCAGACTTGGGCCTGGTTCCACTCCAGTTGCAATCGAAGTTGACCTTGTTAGCCTAGCTTCTGCTTGAGCGATTCTTGCATCCATCGTAATAGATTGTATTAAAATTTTTTTCCGAATGTGTTCGAAAAAGGAGATGAATTATCTCGGTTGAGATTAATTATAAATTGAGCCTTGACGTTGTCTTGCGAGGTGAAAAAGGTTTTCGTTGAGAATTCTAGGATTCCAAAATGAAATTCTCAACTTGGTTGGCGCAAATTCTCGTGCGCGTGTGCATGCACATTTTCACCTCCGCTAAGTCACCGTGGGCATAGGAACCACTGCGTGCCTTGCGGTTCCCTCAAGCCAAGTCAAAATGTGGAAATAATACAAAAGAACACTCTGTTCCTTCAATCAAGGCAATTTAGTCCAGCTGAAATTGATGAGGAAGGTGTGGTACTGGGATTAATACCGGTTGTACTTGCTACATAGTTACAAATCTTAGGTTAGGGGGAGGGACCACCAACAAAGACAGCTTGGATCTTCATACTTGAGATGTCTTCTGATGGCAATAGCCTTGAACAGGGTACTCAAATTGAGAAGAGGCTTTTTTCAGGACCAAAAGAAGTCTTTGAGCATTTCATTGGAAACATGAAGATTATCCTTGCAGTGTTATCATGAAGAACACACAAAATAACACACAGGAATGTACCAGCAGCCAGCATAACATAATAAATTTTTCAAAAACGACAAAACTAGTCTAAATAACAGACATTTGCATTCTTTGCACAAATTGTCAAGTTTATGAATTTGTAGACAAGAGAAATTCCACAGAAAGAAACAGAGTGCTGTGGTTCCCACTCTGTCTGGCCCTGTAACCATTCATGGCCTGGAATACAAAATCAAGAAAAGACAACCAAAGTGACACTGACAGAAACAGGTGTGATTTTGTGTTTGAAACCTTAAGGATGTGCACACTCCTCTATAATCCTCACCCAAAGCCAGGGTTCTCTCTCATCTGGATGATGTACCCAATCATTTGGGATGGTCACACTTGTTTCGGTAATTTCATGATGGCCATTGGATGCTGGTGGAATTATCTCCACTCTGTGGCCTTCACGATTACTCAATGTGCCTCCTCCTCGTTTTGGACCATTCCAGATAAGACCATACATTTCTTCATCAGGGGAGAGTGCAAAATCATCGCTTGTGCTAAAAATGTGTTGAAAGCTGCAAATTAACACAAAGCCAATTGCCAAGAATTTGGGTAATAGCAAAGATTTCATGATGTGGATGATTTCAACTGGAAGGATAATTTGTGGTCAAATCTTCTCAGTTCTCATATATGTGGAGTTGTTATCAAGTCACTGGCACCTGGATGACAAGATATCTCAAAAAAGAAATTGAAAGGGAAAGAGCTCAACTTGTTTTTAGCCTGAATCTAAGTGATTTGCCATGTCAATATCCAAGCAGATGAACAATAATGAGATGCTGTATAATGAGATGAGGGCCCACCTAGAATCCGGGAAGTTTGAAATCCCAAGAAAATATCTCAACAAAGATCTAAAAAGATAGAAGCGTGTGAATGGATGATCAGGATCAGACTTAAAAGGTAGTATGAAAAGCAAAATTGGAATTTTATAAAAATCAGGTCTCACATTATCAATAGCTATCCAGAAAATATTGACTGGATTTGTCTAATTGAAGAAGACAGGGTAAGAAAGGATGTACCTGGTTCTTATAATCTTTTCCTAGACCCTATCTTTTTTTATTCGAGCAGCAGTTGAAACAAGATCTCAATAAAAGCAAGTGGTTTTGGGGTATGGGTCTATAATTGTGTCATGATAGCAAGTGGAAAATCAAACTACTGATTTTTCCTGTGAAAAAAAACAGGGTCTGGGTTTCTGAAACAACAGTTATCTCATTTTGGGTGGTGATTTTGTATAAATGAATGAGACTGTAATTTTATGGTGAGACCAGGAAGGTATCTTTACATGTAACAGATCTTCCCCTCAAAAGGAAACAAGTTTCGTAGCTAATTTTGGGAAAATATGCCAAAGCTCTTTCTCACTAATTGTTCTACATAACATCTTTTCAAGCCACCATCCACTATGTACTTGGGGCAGGCCCATAGAGGCATGTTGAACGTATCACATTGACTTTTATGCTGGGACCCAATCTAGAGCCTCTCACTTTGTAAGTCAACTTAAACTCAACTCCATTTTGAGCCATTGTCAACCATTTCAGGTGACCCCACAACATCCTGTTGCACAGCTCACACCTCATTGGCCAATTATGGACCAGCTTTCCCTTTGTTGACTTCACAAGAATACCAAGAATCAAGTGACCCAGATAATTTTTCTTCTAGAGCAGTTCTTGCTAAAACCCCAATCACTTATCAGGTGAATGGTGGATTCTGACAATAGAGATATATAAAATGATCTCAGTGTCCCAGAAGATTATGATTTGAAATATGGAATCCCATCAGAGAAAGCAGCAAGCAGTGATAAAGTGTTCCTTGACGTACATTGCAAGGAGAGATATATATGTCTCAAACCTGTGTGGAGGATGGGTGCCAATCATGTTTTCAATTTACAAATCCAACCTTTCATGATATGAAGACAAACTTGGCAAGTGTTTCTTTGTTACAAAAGATATAAGATCTGGAAGACCTCCACTATGTTGCTGACGGACTTGAGAAGAATGAGAAGGATACCCTGAGTGACTTCAGGAAAACAACATCACTAAGTGCTTGAACCCACAGAGGCTAGCTCCAAGGGCTTTGTTCAATACAAACATTGTAGAAATCTGTAAGGGGTAGGGCTACATTTGGACAGGAATGCTGAAGGGGGAAGATCACAATGAATAAGATGATTAGTCACTACATGAGCGTCACAGCTTTACATGATGATTCCAAAGTCCTCTTTGATGGATATCAACACCCTGTAGATATGAAAGAAATACTCTTATCAACCCAACCTGTGTGAATGTGACTTGTCAGCCAGCTGACACCACACTTCTTTTGAATTTTGACCTGAAGTCCAAGCAGGTCCCCTGATAGAGCTTTTGTATGCTCTTATGGTCTAATGAATACCTTTTAGCATTTAACTTCTCCTTGTGATGTACCCTTACATATCCCCCTCAGTCAAAAGACATGGTCACATGAAAGACATGCATATAAGGTGCTGTACATGGCAAAAAGTATATAATTGTGGGATACAAAGTAGGATCTGGGCATGTGCCCAGAATTATTTTGGCAGTAAATTTTGATTTTCTGGGCAAAAGAACGGGCCCAGAATTCAAATTTACTGCCAAAAGAATCTTGGAACAAATCTGGGAACATGCCCGGATTCTACTTTGTTTCCCATAAATGTGTTGTGTATCCTGAATATTCCTGAAGGGACCTCAGTGGTGATTTGCCTGTGTGCTTTATAAGAGTTTAATTTTGACATCTTAACTTATACATACACACTCCTTGTGAACTTGCCATTCTTGTAAAACAAATTTGCCAGGTCTATGCATGTCTTGCTTTTCAGACACCTACACAACAGGCAATTGGGAACAGAATTCTGTTGTCAGAAATGACTGCCCCCAGGCCCAATTTGCTTGGTGGTTGGTATAGCATAGCCCATACCTGTGCTTGGGCAGCATTATTGCAAGCTGTCAGATGGTTCAATAGTGGCCATTAGACCATTTTTGGAAATTTTGAGAGGTCTGCCAATCACATATCTCATTACTTCCACAGCCACCCCATACACCCCAGGCCAACATCCAAGGACCAATGCAAGATATTGCACTCCATTGCAGCTCTGCTGGGGTTAGTTACACTTGCAACAGTGTATGAGCACATTGCATGCACATTGAAAGAAATATGAGACAGGAAGGGCACATTGCAACACAGTTTCAGTGCAATGCAATTGTATCAGCTTGAAATATGATTGTACTAATATTGTACAAAAATAAAGCTTCCTTGCAGAAAAGGTGCAAGGAATTGTGTTGAGGAGGCATTTTGCTTTGGTTTGTTGTGTCTCAAACAAAAGCAACACAATTGGTAGGGCCTGAGATCCATTGTGGCTGCAAAAAAAAAACACAGTGCATTGGTCTAAAATTTCACTTTCAGCACAATACAAGAAAGGCCTCATTTTTTAGCATCTTATTGAACTTGTGCCTCACCCATTCTGGTGAGGTCATCCATATTGCGGAGTGTTAGGAAGGACTTTCTGTTGAAATATTCAATTGACTAAGAATGTTACTTATGATATATGAAAGTTAAATGATCATTCAATTCTCACGCCAAATCAAGAAGTGATCATGAAGTAATGCACTCGAGGAAATGTTAATGTAGTTGAGTTAAAGAAGTAATGCACTCAAGGAGATGTTGATGTTGTTGAGTTAAATTGCGTAGTCATGTTCAGTTTCTAGCGGATTCAAAGTAGTTTCATAAATTTAATTTCATATATAGAGACTTGTAGGAGTGGTCGTATTGTTTCTCTTTCCCTCATCTTTGGGAAGAGAACGTACATGCCATCCATTATTTTCATCTTATACATTATCATGAATATTAACTTGTTATTTCTATTGTTATGTTTTCTTTCTCATTAACAACTGGCAGAGTTTCATCAACTTCCATATAAGATCCTATCTATAAGATAGAAAAAGGTGGGGGAGCGCTTCCCCTTGACTCGGGACACAGTCCTGAGCCTGTGATCGCCCACCTGCTGTGACCCGGGTCAACCGATAACCCCCTCCCCAGTACCCCATGATAACAAACTGGATCGGGACCTGTACAGGACAGATGCACGCTTGTACAAACCATAAACTGTTAAACTTAATTCCAATCATTGATTTCAATTTCCGATTGTCCGATCAGTCCTGGAACCTCACGTTTTCCAACATCCTCAATGTATCTAGAAGGTCTTCCTCGCTATACTCCCTTATGTAAAGCTTGTAAGCTTTCGACTTCCACCTCCCAACTGTAACTATCTCTTCCAGAGGACTATTCAAATTCCACCTTAACGAAGCACCGCCAACCCGAAACGAATGTCCAGTAAGAACACCTCCCGAATGATTCTTCCACACATCCAAAAATAACCTCTGACATCTTGCTTTTGTTAAGGTCACATGGTGGGTCCCTTTTGGATACGAGAATAGTGAATTGTCGTCCGTTGCTTTAGTATCTTGTATCAACCTTCGTATAGCAGATACCGGATCAAGGAGCGATGGTTGGGTTTGTAAATAGATCTCCTGGATCTCTCCCACTGCAGCGGTCTTCGCTGCCCTAATTTTAACTATCACGTAAGCACCCTTCGGATCCCAAATAAGGTCTTTTACTTTAACTTGATCTAAATCCTTTGCAGCTTTCACCAACTCGCCTAACCTTGCCATACCCCAAAAGGCAACTAAAGCGACCGTGTACGCCACCTGATTCTCCAAACTTCCATTTGCTAACATCTCTACTAGCCTAAACAAATCCCTTATTAAGACTGGATTCTTCTTTTGTTTAGGTTCTTCCTTCAACTCCAACTTTTGCGCTGCCGTCAATATTGCTTCTATTTGTGGTGTTGCTTGATGAGGGTAATCGTAGTCGTGAAACAAGTGCCAAGCTTTCACACCTGAGAGATAGGTCCTGATCGTATTCAATTTTATTGGCGGTGAATCATTCAATCGAATTGTGCCTGTTGGTGTCGGACCCGCCCATACTACGAAATGATAAAGGATATTTGGGTTGATCGGCAACAACGAAGACCGCGGAATCAATTTTTCCGAGGCGAAGGCGAGTAGCTTCATTACTCCCGCATTATAATGTTTTAGTGTTGCTGGGGACCAAGCACCTCCTATCATATATGACTTTATCACATCAGTTTTTGACAAATCGACTCCATCAGGTCCTTTTAAAAATTCCATTTGAAGAAGCTTCAGGTATTTGCGGGTATGAGACTTATTGATAATCAGGCCGAGAATTCGGCTTGGTAGAATTCTCACTTTAACAGGATCTCACATTTTTCTCACAAGTCCGACCGGGTCTACTCACGGACCTCTCTCAGTATGGGTATGGCTCAAACACAGTGGACTTTATTTCATAAAACTTGTTCAACTACCCCTTGTAAGTCAATCGGGATTTCGATCACTACCCTCTTGCTAATATCTCTCTTATCTTTCCCCCTAGACAACAAATCAGCCAGATTATCATCTGTCTTAACACGATGCGCGACTATATCACAATGGTAGGTCTCAAGCAATTTTTGAATAACCTTCCACTCGCCATTTACCGCTCGATCTTTAGATTTCTTGTTATCGACCGCAGCTTGAGATGTAGTATTATCTGTGAGTACCAAAAAGGTTTTCTCACCAACATCCGTAAACTCATGTACCATGATCATTCCCAACCGTATTGCCACAGTTTCCGCCCAGGCAATATTCTTCTTGACTCCACCTGCGCTTCCTTCATTCCAACCAACGACCAAATCAAACTGCGCCCATCGATCACCAATTAGGACGCCAATCCCCAAAAGTGAGGCATCGCCTACCCAATCAAGGTCAATTGGCACTTGATCTGGTATGATTCTTCGCGGTTCTAAGGTTCTCACTACCGTTTGCCACTCGACCAAATCTTCCCTGACATTGTTCGGTATCTTCCTTTTTGCTGAAGGTACCTGCCATTCCGCTTCCCACCGATACAAGCTTGAAACATAACATTTCAGGTGAGGTACAATGTGTGTAGTATGAACCAATCGACCGATGAATTTTTGAGTCTTCTTCAAGTTGAAAGACTCTTCCGGTTGCAGGAATTCATTGATTTCTTGAGTCTGTTCTTCGAATTTTTCAGCAGGTAAACGTACTGTCCTATCCTTTGAGTTCCATATAAACCCAATATACCGTTGCTCTTCTTTAAATTCATGAACCTTCTCTGGATTAGACGCTACGCCCATCTCTGAGCTGATCTTCACTATGTCTTCTATAGTAGTCGGATTATCTACCTCTTTCACCAGCAGATTATCGTCCACCCACCCGAAAGCGGCTGTCAACCCAAAGAAAGCTACCATGATCTTCTTCCACAAATCCGCCGGCCTTCCGAAAACACCACATCCAGCTACACCACCAAACTGAATCCGTGAATCCAACCAAAGTCTCCCACGCAAGTCCATAATGAACAAAAACCTCCATTGAGATGGGTGTATCGGGATCTGTCGATATGCCTTCTCCCAATCAAACACTGCAAGTAAGTACCTCCCTTTATTATCTCTAAAGAACGCCGCCACGACTTTAAAGTCGTCCCAAGTTGTTTCAAACTCCTTTTTATCTACGAAGCTATTGACTGACGGTGTTTCTTCACTATCCTGTGGGAAGGACAGATCATTGATAATACGAAACGAACCATCCCCGTTGATAACACTACCCATAGGACTTGACCGAAAGAAGCCCAATTTCCTAAACACCTCCTGGTGAGTAAATGGACCAAAGATCCTCTTTGCCCGATGTTCTTTTGCCAACGTATTTTCTATCTTTTCTGCCGCCTGGTGAGCTGACTCATGATTTTGTGGTGTAAAGCATTTCAGATTTCCCAGTGTATGACTCGGTATACCCTGATGAAACCCATCACGACAACCCCTAATCACTTCATCTGCATCGTCATAAATCTTAAATTGGCGTACTAAAGACCTCCACCTAGTCAGGTTCAAACCGCACACTGCCAATTCCGGTGGCCACTTCGGATCATAACTCCTTCCTGAATTCACATAAGGTAAGAGCCTCACATCACCGACATCTGACCAGCTGTCAGACCGCCTAACTTCTGGGTTCGCACTTGGACTCCGGATTTCAGATCTCCAATCAAATCTACACCGCGAATATCAGGAAGGGTAGGATTCAAGTTTTTGGTCAGAACAAACTTTCTCTAAAGCCATCACTGCGACATTTATTTCTTCACATAAGATAGTAGGGAGCTATTCAAGAGTGCTCACAGGAAGTAACGAGTCATTAGGTAAGGAGTACCCCAACTCAACAACTGCTACGATGGTCAAACAAACCACCACAAGCCTTAGAGGCACAAATCAAGAAAACACACATAATCGGTCCTTAGGACAACGTTGGTCACTTATCTCAACCAACAGTCTCGTTTTAAACAAGGAATTTCTGAAAGGAAGAATTCTCGCTAGAGTATCATATACTCAATGGCTTACTTTGCCTTATTCCCGCCACCATATTTTGGGCCTGTCACCTCGCGATTGCCTCCTCGTCGATCCTCTTGCCTATCATCCTTGCGCCAAGATCTGCCACCATCACCCCTCTGGCTATCATAACAATCGTCTCTACCACCACCACTATGATTGTTCCACGAACCACCCCTACCCCTTCCACGCACATTACGACCTCCACCTTGGCGATCTTCATAATGAAGGTACCCTGAACTTCCAGGTCCGTCGTACACCGGCTGGCTTCCGTATTGTGCTGGATGATGTGTGAATGGTTGAGACTGATTTGCAAAGGCCCAAGACCTAGTGTTGGGTTTACCGGGGTGGGTCGAGTGATTCATGTGTGAGTTCATAATGGTACCGTTTTGAATTACGCTGCCTGGAAGCAGCTCCCCAGAAATGGGATTGATGTTGGATTTGCATTCAAAGTCTGCATAAGGATTGATATCACAAAACCGAGGCTGAAAGTCGTTCATCCGCTCACTATCAAGCCGGGCATTGCGTTCTAAGGTTTCATCCCGAACGGCAGGATTGGCAAGTTTACCATCTTCGTTCCGAATTGTCATCACCGTCGTCCTAACCGCCTGGTCATAACAAAATGCCATAGGCCAACATAACCGCTCCGCCTTGATTGCCAAAACATTTGCCTTATGAATTAGGAACATATCCGCCAGCTTGCCATGGTCATAATAACAAAGGTAAGACACAAAGACGTCAAAGGCTGTTACCCATTCACCAAAAGTCATTTTCCATTCATCTGGTACGTGTAATCCTGAATAACGAGTCTCTTCTTTATCTCCTTTAGCTTTTGGTTTCACTCTAAGTAAGTCTTGACGTAACCATATTGGATTAAAGATTGATAAAGGAACGTATCCGTCCATCGGTCTCATTTTATCATCCCAGTATCTCGACAACGCAACCAAACCGTGTGTCTGAATTCCCGCTTCACCAACTTCAGCTTTCTTCTTTGTCGCTGAATCCGTGGTATCTTTTACACTATCGTCATCGTCTTTTGTCAAGTCCCAGACTTTCTTTTTCGCAGGAGCAACTGTGTTGACTGGTGCCGGACCCGTTGATAAGGATGATGAAGAAAGAGGAGCCGATTGGTGTTGTCCTGTAACAGCTGAAGCTAGGCTTTGGGTAATCGCGGAGGTGACACCTTGACGGTTCGATGAATTCGCATTGGAGTCGTTAACAACTGTTAAACCATTGGCTAGGAGCCAAGACTGAAATCCTTTTGGAGGACTCTCTCCGACGGCCGTGACGGTAGCTCTGCGGTTCGGTGAACGCACTTTGAAACGAAAGAAACGAGGAAAGGGATTTATTTTGGTTCAGTATATTGCTCATCTTATTCTCTATTCACGAGGCATCACTATTCGTGGCATCACTATCTGTGGGTAATTTTCATCTTCGCAACAGCGGCAACACCAAATGGTGGGTATGATCATCATCTTGTAGCTTACAGCTGGGTGTAACAACCACGTTATCTCTTGCAATTAGACCACCGGAATGCAATACCAACGTTCCACCATTTCCTTGTGCGGTTGCGTCGACTGTTGGGGCTTGGAGAGTTGATGGAGGAGGCTCTGGGCCGGTATCCAAATCACCTGGAGCAGGTAATGCAGGTGGGGGTTGGGTGTTTGCTCCTGGTACCGTTAAGGTCACAACAGGCGTCGAGCTATCCACCGCGGAAGGTTGACCACTGGTCCTAGTAGACGATGTACCATCACGACGTCCGCGTCCACATCCCCTCCCACGCTGGGCAGTAGTTCTGGCCGATATAGCATTAGGTACTACTGGTTCTGAGTCTGGCGGTGGGACTGAGCCACCTCTCAACCTATCGCTAGTTCTCCTTAGCATCTCTTGAAATTTTTCTGTGTTAGTGTCCTGACTATTGTTGGTGGACATTGGTGTGTTTTAATCGATGAACGTTTGAAAGGTTTTTTAAGAGAAGAAATTCAAAAAAGGAGAAGACAAGCAAGAGCTTGTGCTTAGAGAGAGAAAAGAGGCGATAGGATGATTTCCCAAGACAGGCGTGAGAGAGTGGGAATGGGGAATAGACGCGGAGAAATTTTCTATGAAGATGGAGAGAAAATTTTTCACAACCTTGACTGTCTCAAGTTGCCCGTCAGAGGATATCCTTTCCCTGTCTAGGGATATCCTGTATTGCCCATAGTCCGACATCCGCCCGTATCGTGGAAACAGACGGTACCGTCGTGCCTTTGGGTACCGTCATCCATTCTTTGCACTTATCGTGCTATTGCACAATTCATCAGGTGAATAATAAATCTTTGGGAAGAGAACAGTTTTATCAACTTCCATATAAGATCCTATCTATAGGATAGAAAATTAACTTACCGTGCCTTTCCTTATAGGTCAGAGCCTTCTATATCAGTCAGCGTTGTTAGGTAGTTCTTTGCGCTTATTGTGCTATTGCACAATTCATCAGACCCGTATTCCTAGACTCCAAGACATTCATACTTTCAGACCAAAGAATAGATTCTGGGAGCCCTCACAAATTCAGATCAGTAAGCCTATGGGGAGAACAACTTCTCTCTGAATAAAATTAAAATTCAATGTTTGAATTTCACAGCCTATGATTTGGCTATTCAAGAAGAAAGTCCTCTTGCCAATCTTCTGCTTGCCAAAAGACTTCTTGATCTCTTGTCAGGCTACCAGCCAGTCAGTCAGCTTTGTTCTATCCAAATGTTGAGCTTTTGGCCAGAATATGGCTGGTTTTGTCCAACCAAACCATCCATCATGTGGCTCAGAGCTAATTTTTTGAGTAATTCAACAGCACAACCGTTTTCAAGCTGGTTGTGCGACACAAACTTAACCGATGGTGATGTATGAATAATCCATTCCATTTCAATCCATTGTCTAAACTTTTGACTGATGTCAAATATAAATCCACAACACAACAATACCAAGTTGAGCATGAAGACAGGAGGTGGCAGATCTGTTTCATCTGAATATGTGCACTCTGGTGGAAACACACAAGTTACAAAGATAAACTGTGTGATTTATCAAGCAAGCTAAGTGATTCTCATTGAATAGCGCTCAATCCAAGTTACAATCATTACATTTTCAAAAGTTACAGAAGAAAGTTTTAAGTTTTCTACCATCAAGACAACACAAAGACACAAAAATGAGCAACCCAAGTAACAATGATCTAGCGGCAAGACTGTCAAGAGCAGAAGAGAATGTGGCATGCATAACACAAGCAACAACAGCAGCCATGGGGGTACAACCGGGACCACCATCAGCACCACCAAGCAGGGGTAACGGTAACCAGAAGAGGACAGCAAAGAATCCAATGGAGGGACCAATTGCGGAAGGAGATGAAGGCAACAAAGACGGTGCACCAATTGGCTATGACATCCTGCTAGACGGAGAATTGATGACACCCAACAATGAGGACGGGTTGTATCAACCGGGGGAAGCTGAACCAGAACCAAAAGGGAAGGGTAAGGCAGTCTCTGTGGAGGAGGATCAATAACTGATAGGTAAGTCATAGAAGAAAAACATAATCCCTACCTTCATCATAAACAGCAATTGCAACTCCACCACAATAACACCAGTCTGGAACCCTCCCGTAAACCACAAACCAATCACCCAAAAGCTGATGAGTAAGACCAAATTGAAAGCTGTGTTGTTGCATACAACAGGAATAGAACCAACCACTGGCAAGCTTAATTTCTGAGGTCACAAAGTGACAACCAGGTTAGGCGAAGCCACTGGTGACAGCCAGAGGGTTGGGAACCCGGCAGATTCACATATAGAATCAATCACAACAAGTGATTACCAAGCTCTACAGCTGGTGGATGAACACGGTCTCATGACTTTCCAATTAAGATTCAGAAACCCTCCAAGAGGAGAGAAAACTCATGAGACTCACTTTAATAATTCATTTTGTATTGTGTGTGCAGAAGAAGGCCATGCAATGATCCAGATGCAGGGGGAAATCAACAAACTGTACTTGAGGTACAAGTGGGCCAAGGGGGCAGCGCTCCTAGCGTATTTCACCAACAAGTTTTTGCGTGAACCAAGAGACTCTGCACAGCCAGGAGAAAGAAACCCCACTCCAGGGCCAAGAAATAGGTGTAACCTGAAGAGCCGCCCACCAATAAAAAACCCACCCGTGCAACCCAGAGAACGGATCCCAACACCCCCTCCCGTAGACAGGCAAATCCCACCGGAGAGACACATGGCCACACGTAGAAGCCCCAGCACCTTAATTCAGGAGGATTTTTCAGACCCACTACACACATTGCCAACAGGACTTACCACCACATTGTGGTAGCTCCCCCCCTTCCAGCCGCGACTCCTCACCCGCCCATGGAGGACCACCTCAATGTGATTGTTCTGTGATGCCACCACCAAACTGTTGGGTCCATTCATCAACACCCACTGGACCTTGGTACAACCAATCCCCAAAGCAATCTTATAAGCACAAACCGGGAGTGAGCCAGAACCCACCACTGGACAGATGGAAGAGCAAACAGCCAACAGAGTTACCACGACAAAGTTAGAGGAGGAGGTAGCAAATGCAATGCTGGAGTCAGGGAAAGGACAAATGGCCCTTTCTGACGGGGATGTGATAGAGAACGGGAGAAGAATCCTATACAATAACTCTGAGCAAATGGAGAAGATTCTCACCCCACTATCCCAAGTCCTGCAAGTGTGGCTGAAGACCTTCAAGGTGTACATCCCACTGACAGTGTTCAACAAGCATTGGTTGCAAGAGGACCAGAAGGAGTGGGAGGTAAAAGAGCTCCAAACCAAGGCAAAAATCCTGAAAGGCAAAGCAAATGTCAAAGCGTACGGCGGAAAACCCCCTCCCAACGAGCTACTAATGCAATTCAAGGAATGGCTGGACAGCATGAAGTTGTTTGTTCAATACGTTGAGGAGGCTGGTTGGGTGAGGCAGGCATCAAGGTTCAGATCACATATGGATTTTGTGATGGATTTACGCAAGAACATCACCTGGAGTATTCCAGAGGCAAAAAGGAAAGAACACATATCACAGATTGGTGAATTCTACCAGGAAAAGGCCAACCGCTTCAAGGATGCAGAAAAATTATCCGGACAACTATCACACGCGGTGTTGGTGTACCCGCAATTGAAGTGCTACTGTATGGCAATGTACAAGTGGATGGCGGAATGGGTGCATAAGTCAGCGCTAAGGGATATCCCGGAAGAGGTGAGGGAAGATTTGAAAGTCTGGAGACAAACATCATTAGAAGAAGACCCAAGGAGATTAATCCCACATAAAGGTGTCCGTAATGTCACTTGGGTGGGGGATGCCTTGACAACATACGGCATCAGTATAATAATTGGGAAACAATGGGCGAGATTCATGTTAAGAAATGGGTGGAACAAGGCAGACAAGAATGGAGACAGGAGAGAGATAGCATGGGAGGAGACTGTTGCCACACGTCTAGGGCTGCTGATGCTATTGAGATTGATGGACATGAGCGGGTACAAGTTCTTGATGTTGACCAATAACGTAGTGACAGATGCAGCCATAAAAAACGGCAAATCTCGGAATCTGTTGGTGAACAGGGAATGGATGAAGATACAGAACAATCTGATGAGGCTGGAATGTAGGATAAAACAGAAGAGGGTTATCTCAGAAGATAATGCAGCTGATAAACTGTCTAGGGGAAAAGACTCATTGAAGAGAGAGCACAACAAAGTGTGGGTAGATCTGCCAGACAGCCTGAGACCTTTTCTTATACAAGAATAATGTGAAATGAATATGGCTGAGAGCCAAAAAATGCAGACCAAGAGTCATAAAGCAGACCAAGAATCAGATCAGTGCTGTGAGTAGACAAAAATGTTTCAAATCAAAACACAAAACGTGAAGACCCTGTACCCCGCTTTGGACTGAAGTAAAGTAAACCAATTGAGACAGATGAGAACAAATACACATGCAAAGTCTCACCTATACCAGCACACCATATTTGAACAAAAGAGAATCAAGCAAGACAAGGCACAAACTCCTTAAGCATTTCAAATTGGCAAGAGAACAATCAGGACCAGCAGGGAAGCACCTAACCCTGAGTGGATGGGCGCGAGGAACATTAAGTGGGTACTCCATTGGAATGTTGAAGTTTATCAGCTTCAAGATGAAGACCACAGGAAACCTCAATGAAGACAATCCAATCAGTGATAAAGATATCTACAACTTCATTGCTTGGGCAGGTGAATCAAAAGCAGAGAAGGAAAAACAGACCAGATAGAGTGATATTGTCAGTCACAATTAAAAAATATCTTGATGGGATACGCGCATGGCATATTCTCAGGCATCTGTCCAAACCTTCAGCGGATCGAGATGTGGTATCCACCCTCCTACAGGCAACAAAGAGGAACAAAGAGGCAAGAGAATTAATAACTGTAAAACAGTCAATTATGATAAGACAACTCTTTTGACTTTTTAAAGAAACTACGGGAATTCAGGCAAACTACAATTAGTGGGATCAGTAACCCTGATTGCCTTCTGGGGGATGGCACAACTAGGGGAATTATTACGCCAATTGAAGGAAGACAGTGCAATCCCAAGGAGACATGTGAAATTTGGCAAAAGGAGCAGAAGCCGGTTTGCCCGCGTACACCTGAGGAAAGCAAAGTCAGCAAAACCAGGCAAGGTCCAAGTCATTTACCTGCAACAACAGAGAAATGTTCTGGATGCTGTATCAGCTCTAGAGAGGGTGATGAAGTTGAACAAAGGGGAAGATAGAGACAGCTTACTGTTTGCCTCATGAGGCACAAAAGGACTAACCACATTGAAAAAACCCTGGTTTACCAAGTTGGTAGAGGAAAGCTGGGGGAAGTCAGGAGTAGATAGGTGGTCAGGGCATTCCTCCCGGGTAGGAGGCGCGTCAATAAGATACAATTTAGGTACCCCGGTGAGAACCATTGCTAAACAAGGCAGATGGAAGTCTCTGGCTTACCTTTGTTACTGCAAGGCGTATTTGGACAAGGAAGTGAAGGACACGATAAAGTTTCTGGAGGTGATAGAGGAGAGCTGAGGAACCTTCAGTGAACTCAAAATTTTATACAGGAGACAAATGCATATAGTTTAAGGTTTTGCATGGATAGAGTTTAATTAAACTAAAGTGAACAGGAACTTTGGAACTGGAATTTGCTGAATTGTAGATCCGGCAATAAAAGGAAACTCTAATCACCGGTGACACTAAGCCAACAGAAATTTTTGGTGTTGGGGGATAGCCCCTGGAAGGCTAGGCACCAAAAAGCTTGCAACTTAGATGAAGGGGATCCAGGAGCTAAGGAAAAAAACCCTTGAACAAGGAGGGGGGGCGGGTATGTAGGTGGGAGCCCAGCCGGACGCATCTCCCTTGGTTTTGCAGAACCAACTGCAGACGGCCGGGATCCGCCGCTACTGCAACAAAACATCCTTTGACTGAACGTAAGAGATGTTTTGGGCTTATGGTTCTGGAAGAATCGCTTGAGGAAATCCCTTGAGGATCCAGAGATTTTAAACTCTCAGATCTAAAAATGGCTCACACTAGGAGCGTAACTCACAGCTAGATGAGGAGTGGGTCCCTTCTGCCAAGTCAAAATTTGGAAATAATACAAAAGAACACTCTGTTCCCTGAATCAAAGCAATTTAATTCAGCTGAAATTAATGAGGAAGGTGTAGTACTGGGATTGATACCGGTTGAACTTACTACATATTTACAAATCTTAGGTCAGGGGGAGGGACAGGTACAGCACCACCAACAAAGACAGCTTGGATCTTCATATTTGAGATGTCTTCTGATGGCAACAGCCTTGGACATGGTACCCAAATTGAGAAGAGGCTTGTTTCAGGACCAAAAGAAGTCTTTGAGCATTTCATTGGAAACATGAAGATTATCCTTGCAGTGTTATAATCATGAAGAACACGTAAAATCACACACAGGAATGCACCACCAGCCCACCCCAGCATAACATAATAGGCTTTTCAAAAACAACAAAACTAGTCTAAAGAACAGACATTTCCATTCTTTGCACAAAATGTCAACTTTATGAATTTGTAGTTGAGAGAAATTCCACAGAAAGAAACAGAGTGCTGTGGTTCCCACTCTGTCTGGCCCCGTAATCATTCTTGGCCTGGAATACAAAATCAAGGAAAGACAACCAAAGTGACAGAAACAGGTGTGATTTTGTGTTTGAAACCTTAAGGATGTACACGCTCCCCTATAATCCTCACCCAAAGCCAGGGTTCTCCCTCATCTGAATGATGTACCCATTCATCTGGGAT